AAAATTCGAAAATATATACATACTATAAAAAAATCGAATTTTTTTTCGAAACTATATACATACTATTAAGAAAAAGTCGAAAATAAATTCATAATATAAAAAATTCGAAAATGAATTCATAATATAAAAAAATTCGAAAATATATTCATAATATAAAAATAATTCGAAAATATATACATAATATAAAACAAATTGAATATTCATAGAAAATAAATTGAGTGTTTCAATTTTTTTTTTAAATACATGCGAAAAACATATTTCGAAAAGTTAAAAATATTAAAAAGACAATATTTTTTGAATTTATAGGATATTAAATGCATGAAATATTACATATATACGTGGTAATTTTGAAATGAATGTGCAATTGTTAAATAGGAAAGAACTTAAAAACATACCAAAATAGAAATGCCTAATAAGCAATTGAGTATTACACATCTTCAATTGAGTGCCAACTAAGCGATTTGAGAAAATGACATAAGCATTTGCCACATGTCATTCATTGAGGCTATAGATCCTATTTTTATATTATATATAGATTAAATTGAATTCCAAGATTATAATTTATCTTGCAAAGTAAGTCGGCCAATAGGATTATTTCTTCTCTTCCAAGTTATAAGAGATAAATATCAATTTAAAGAGAGTCAATCAAATCGCGTCACGCCATCAAGAAGACTTTTTGTAGGCAATAGACACCATGCATATTGTTTGCGACAATTGATTGACAATTTTAGAAACACATGTATAGATTAAGTCTATGAAATTATTCATTTATTCGTTAGTATGAAAATTAATTCAACTCCGCAGTACTTATTTTTGAAGGATCGTACAATTCGTTTCTCGTAAACGTTTTATAGTGATCAAGGTATTGGTATGCATCAAAAGAAGGACTCCAAACAATTTTTAAACAAAGAGGCATAGTATAACAGAGAAATTCATATACAACTAACCATATAAATGGAAAAAACTAAAGATACAAGCTGCTCTCTCAATTAATAATACAGTTGATCGAAGTATGAAATAGTTCACAAACCGAATGCAGAAACATAAATGTAGTCACAACCCGATTAGATGAAAAGCAACACAACTTAACAATCTTCCTCTTCTGAACTAGAAGAATGTTCTGAACTAGAATAGCCTGCAAATGAAAAACAAATTTCTATAAAACGAAAGAAAAGAAAGTGCAAATAATTCAAACACTACGTACATAGCAATTAATTGAAATATATGCAATCGCAGTAGACTGTGGAAAAGACAAAGCACAAAGTCACTTGAATGCAAGTCGAACCCATGAATATAGAAATTATTTAACTAATTTTGTTTACGAACATGGTATCTGAGAAGCGGAAGTGTGCATTTGAGAAGGAAAGATTAAAAATTTGTTTTTGAGAGGGTGCAGTGAATTGGGGTACTATTTGAACAGTTTTCAAGCGACGTTTTATTCAGCACACGAATTAGAACAACTTAATGTTGTGAATGTAAGAAGGAGGCGGGATAACTAAAATGTCTCTATCAGTAACGGAATAATCAAACGGTGAAGTAACAAATCAAGTCATTTGCATTTCAAAGTAAGGATTTTCTAATTTATGTCTACCATGAAGAAATTGAGTCCGTCGTGGTCAAAAAGAAGGTGGGGATCGATTCATCATTAAAGAGAAATTATGAGCAACAATATTTGAAATACCACATATTAGTGCCAAGAATTTTTATGAAATACCACATATTAGTGTGAAACAAATGATTCCGTCATCAAACACGAGCAATGCAAGGACTCAAACATAACATTCAGGTTAAAGTATCTCACCAACTCAAATAAGCCTCTTTTGTTTAATAATATTCAAAATTTTGAAGTTGTACGAAAGACAGACGAATATGTAAATGTATATATAAAAGACCGAAAAAAAAGAATATGAAAAATCATAAAAGAAGAGCAAAGATTGAATTGAAAAAATAATTACCTGTAACAATTCGAACAGATCTGACTTCAGTTCGATCGATTCCGAAGTAAATCATTGTTTCAAAAGTTTTGACTTGTTCCTCAGAATTAAGTGTGGCGGTAAACGTCGAACACAATATATAGCCGGCCCTGCACGGAGATTCGGTTGCTCTGATAACGTCCACCACCGACCATTGTTGTGCGGCAGCTACACACATACATATAGATATAACAAAGGAAGCAATAAGTCTGGGAAAAAGGAAGACAAAAAAAAAAAACAAATTAAAAAAAAAAAAAAAAAAAACATACATTTGTTCTGCGATAGTAACCTAATGCAATTTTGGCTGATTTATTAAGAAATCGGGCTTTTTTGCAATTACGAAGTTCACTGGATGTGGAATCTCGATCATATACGAGGCGTTTACGTCGATCGACGGCCTGCAGTTTGTTTAAAATACGACGAAATTGAAGCTTAAAATAAATTATTAATTCGAAGAAATAAAAAAAAAAAAAAAAAAAAAAAAAAAAAAAAGGACGAACATTACATACCTTAATGAAAAGCCTACGATTGATCCGCTTCTTCTCCGCCGCGACTATTTCGAGTTGTTCGCGTATCTCATATATCAGATTCGCCAATTCCAATTTATTATTTTTCTTCTTCTCCTCCTCCTCCAATTCCAATTCCAATTTGTTGATTAGTGTGTTCATCGTATCGATCTTCGTCCTCGCATCCCCATATTTGTAGTACCGTCTTTTTCTCCCCATAATAATCTTTCAATCAATCCCTAATCGTCTTTTCCCCTTTCCCTTTGGCCTTCTCGTCTTTTCTTTCCCTTTCGTCTCTTAAATACCTCTCTCTCTCTCTCTCTCTCTATATAGTATATTAAAACGGAAGAACCCCTAGGGGTATTTTAGTCATTTCCTATTTTGGCCGTTTCTCTCTTTTTTTTTTTTTTTTTTTCTCCTTCTTCTTCTAGGATATATATGGTTATTTGTGGTAAAGAAAAAAGTAATTCCAAAAATTGAGAGATTGTTATAGAATAACCCACTAGCTATTAAATTATCAAAGTATAAATATGTATATTGTAAACAAGCAAAATAATATTGCTAAAGGTACTCTAAAGAAAATGATATATATATACTTGCTGAAGGAAATTGCATTCGAATGAGGCTGCCATCTATTTCACATTGCCAATGCATTTATTTATACAAGAATTTGTACAAGCTTTGTCAACCAAAAACTAATTTATTTCTTGACACGTAGCATCATGAGAAGCTTTATTAGACATGTCATGCTACATGAACACTTAATCCATAAGCTATCAAAATGTTGAGTCCACATGATGAATAGATATACTTCAGTATTATAATACTCCTCCTTGGACGAAACATTATAATATCGGCTGTAAACTGGATGAGTAGAAATGTATATATGTCTCGTTAAAAACCTTAAGCCGAAAAACTCAGTGGGATAAAACCGGTCAGAAGGAAAAAAGAGTGCATAACTCAATCCAAGCCGTGTGCATATGCTGCCTCGTTAAAAACCTTTGCTGGAAAATCCAATGTGACAAAACCAGACATAAGGGAAAAAGAGTGCAGCGCACTATTGGTCCCCCTGAAATTGAGCAATATATAGCTTCTGAGATGGCCCGTCAATCGTACTTCATATTGGCTCTTCTCATTCCAATAGCGTATACCGCCATTTATTTATCTGACTTTTCTCTGCATTATATAATCTGCAATATTACAAAACGATGTTCATTATTATAATCATCGTAAACAATCTATTGAGAAATTGAGAATGTAAAAATGGAACATGCGAGTTAGATTCCATGAAAAATACAAAAAAACATGAATTTTTTTTTTTTGATAAATTTACTGTACTGAAATCGACTACAAATGACTATAGTATATACTACAAGTTCTATAGCCATGTATAGTATATACTACAAGTTCTATAGCCATGACTATACGCGACTATATATGCCTGTATATGACTATATATAACTGTATATTCACCTGACCCAAATTATCCATCTAAGTAACCACTACTGATTAAGTTTCTACTACAGACAAACAAAGCTCTCACACTTGAGGCATTTCGGATCATCTTCAAATAAATACAAAACATAAATGACATATAATTTATAACAAAAATAAACAAGATAAGAGAACAATTTTGAAAACCTTACATAGAAAAAAACATCCAATATATTATCGGAAAACATGGACACACATTTTGTAAGAGAGCGAAATTCACCAAGACATGCGAAAAAAGAAAAAGAATTTTGTATCAAATTTGAATATGCACACACACTATCACCTACTAATATATATACACATCACCAGCATATACTCTTCACATAACTCATACATGACTACATGCTACTACATAAGTTATATATAACTATATATTAAGACATGTTACTACATATCCATATATAACTATATATTACTGCATATTACTATACGTGACTATATATGAGTATGACTACCAAAAGATTCATATCATAATAGAGCTTAAGGAATTATTATCAAGGATAATAAATAATTTTTTTGGAGCTGTTATAAACCTTGGTTCAAAATCAAAAAACTCAACTGAACCTTAGTATTCAGTCAACGAACCAACAACCTGCAATTTGAGACATCATTAAATCATTCATTAGCCAAGAGAAACTACAACTTTGTGCCAGCAGAAGATATATAAAATAAAATATAATAAAATAAAAGAAAAGGTGAAGAAAAAAAACATTTTTTTTTGTTGAACAACATGAACAGAACCATCAATTAATTAATTAATTATTTTTTTCAAATTCTTAAACAATTGCAGTACCGAATAAAGAAAGGAAAGCTGAAAATCCAACTTCAAATAGCAGCACACAAAACCGATAAAATCAAATCATTCAATCAACACTCATAAAATATTCTCCTCTGCAAATTCTCATTAATTTTCTAATAAATTTGATTCTCGTTGATTAATTACCTTCGATGGAACCGACTTGTTGTAGGGCATTCCTATCGACAGAGATGACTTTGGGGCCGATGCTATCGCCGGGGAGAAGAGTGAGGGTGTAGCTTTTCGACGGCGATCCGGCGGCGCAACGGATGGTGGAGAGTTTGGGTTGCGCTTCTTCTTCCTCTTCTTTGTCGGTGCGAGATCTGGCGAGAAAGAGTAAGAAAGAGGGAGAGACGAAGAGAGATGAAGAGAGAGGGAGAAGCCAGATCTGGCGAGAGAGGGAGAGAAACGGCGCGGTATGGGAACGCGTGAGTGGGAAGAGATAAGATTAGGAGAATAGGACATATATTGAATTAAAACTAAAATGGTAAAATAGGTACTTCAAGTTGTCCAGGGGTGTCTCACTAATTAAGATCATAATTTGAGTTTTTGACTAGGAAAGAAATATTTATTGGACCTCCTCAAATATATTTTCAGAACTAGGGGGTTATCACTCATTTCCCCTTAATATAAATCGGATTCTATTAATTTTTCGACATGTAGAACTCTTAAGTCTTAACTGATCTTAATAAATCACTCTGATTATAACTAGGATTAGAGAGGTTACGAGGTTTTTTTTTTTTTTTTTTTTTTTTTTTTTTTTTTTTTTTAAATCTTAATTATATTTTTATTTAAACTATCCATGTGTCAATCATCCCATGGCATCCAATTTTCCTATTAAAACAAGCTATCCGTTCCAAATTTGCACCCATTATTGAAATATCTATATCTATATAGATATAGTTCACTTTCCAATATTAATCACCCATAGCTTATCTTGTTCATGCGTGACTTGAGAGTTAAGGTAAAAAATGAAAAACTATCACTCTAAGCTCACATGTGAGTCTGACCAAACACTTCAACGAAAGTCCCATTGACCAACCAACTTGACCACATTTAAAGCAAACCATGGCAGAGTCACTATAGTGACACTGGGGGGCATGACCCCCTTAATAATTCTCGAATTCCTAATTTTTATGTAAAAATTTAATAAAATTTGTGTAAAATTAGTCTTACCTCGACCCCCTTATGAGTACAGTTTTAATGCATTCGGCCCCGTAAAATTAAAATTGTCTCTGCTAAGTGACTATAACTGCTAAGTGACTATAACGTTTAATAATCAATAAAAATCTAACTAGCATGGCAAAATTAATCAACGTCGTATACATGAATGACTGTGTATTTATTTATGCATTACACTTTTATTTTTTTTAATGAAGATTTCGCAACCAACTATATAGGTGCGTTGAGTAAATCTATACTCTCGTATAATAGCGTGTAAATCATACGAGAGAATGCATTACAATTTAACAAATACTAATGTGAGTAACCATATATAATCTAATTTTGTAAGAAATGTACATGTACAAATATAAAGTATATAAGATCTCCTATCTAACCTTATAAGGGTGGAAATCGGAACATAATTTTTAAAATTCCTTTGTCTTTTCTATCTAACAATTTTGTGACTTTGCAATAATATATTTAATATTTTTGGATCATAAGCGGGATTATATATAATTTTAATTTCTAATTGTATTTCAAGTTTCAAAAATATTTTTAAAGTTTTTTTTGTAATTTTCAAAGATATATGTCTATAAATCTATGTTGTATTATTGTTAAAATAATATTCTAGACGTGAAAATTGAAATATAATTTCGGAATTTACCGATTTTAGCTTTATCCGATTTTTTGTAGAACATTTTTTTCTCCATTTTGGTTACCAAATTGCGGAATTTCGAATTTCTGATAAAAATTTGAAAGAAATTGAACTGAATTTTTAACTCTTGGTTTGTTTTTAAATAATACTAATTTCGATATGATGCGTTCGATTCTCACCCATAAAGCCAAAGAATCGTAATAAAGGCTTGTAATTTGTGAACATGACCTCGTACTATTCTCTCCATATTGTTCGACAAATTACATATAAAATAAAAGAGGATATACTATAGAAGAATATGTAAGTTTAAAGCAAAAGCAAGAAATTAAAGTGTGAAATATGACATGTATAAATTTGCAGAAGAATATTCCGTGAGTGCACAATATATATAGAGATACAAGAAACTAGTGTTTTGGACATATATATAACAACTATAATATAGATATAGGTACAAAAATGATGAGTCTTACAAGTATGGGGAGCAACGGGCGACCATCGACCGATGATAAGGAAGAACACGAAGCTTCAAAAACGGCGATTGCAACATATCAAGAGAGAGAAGAAGAAATCGAGAGGAGAAAAATGGAAGTGAAGGAGAGGGTTGAGTCTCAGCTCACCCGTGCCGAGGAAGAGACCAGACGCCTGGCTCAAGTGTGGGAGGTAATAATTAATTAATTAATTCACTTTGTAATTTTGTTTAGAAAATATGAGATTTATCTCAAGTATATACGAAGAAAAACAAAATATTGATATTTGAACTATGTTGCTTATTTAAATTCAAAAGATGTAAAAAAAATTGATTAAAATGTTTGTGATAAAATCGAGTCAATTAGTTGAAAATAAGAATATTATTCACAAACATAAAAATGCTCTTTTCGTTTTATTTTAACTGTCGCTTTGGGGAACTTTTCATCGATATTGTTTGTCACTTTCCAATGATGAATGTGTCAAATTCCAATTTCGCCCTCATTATTCCTAGATTTTTTACAAAATTTGATTCTTACAAAATAAATCGAACAACTAATGGAGAGAATTACTGGACAAATATATATTTTAGTCATATTGTATTTTTTTTCCTAAGATCTATACATATTTATTGATTTTTTTTTACTATGTGTGCCGAAATCTTAAACGACGTGTAATTTAAAAACGAACGACGTAATTTGATATATTAATGTTCTTTTTTTCTTTAACAATTTTGATATATTAATGTTAGGAATTGGAAGTATTGACTGATCCAATGAGGAAGGAAGTTGCCACTGTGCGCAAAAGAATAGACTTGGCCAACCGAGACCTCAAATCAATTGGACAGATCTGCCAAAAGAAAGTAAGAATTTTCGATACAGCTTCATCTTGTTTTAATTTTCTCCATTTTACGCAACTGAAATGATATTCGCGGAGGAAAAATTGATAGGTCACAGAGTAATTTCAATATTTATTAATTTTTCGTATTTCAAAACCTTACGATTCTTGAATTATGTATATTTCAAATAAATGAATTATGCTACTTCCGTGTTGTTCAAAACGGAACCCGGCCGGTTTTCAGTTTCTATTTTTTTTTTTTTTTTTAATTCTGTGTTGTTTAACACGGAATTAAGAATTGGAGATAGGTTTTCCGTGACCAACACGGAAAAACAAAAAATAATAAAAATCGGAAAAACGAAAAATTGACATGAAAATTGGGATAATCGTCGTCCATTTGGTTTATTGTCGCTTCCTACTCGATAAAATCCAAGAAAACGTAACGATTTGCGAGATTGAAAATGAGAGACGTTATTAAATTGTTGGAGTTTTTTGGATTATAGTGAAAATTACGTCTGAAACCTATTAAAAGCCCTTTCTGCGTCTATCAAGCTCCTTTTACTTTAAACCCGTATTTAAATTAGAACGGGAAAAATGAGATGAGAGAGACTATTATTGCTTATTATTTAGCTTTTATATAAAATAAAAAATAAAATAAATTTGAATATAATTAATTGGGCAGGAGAAAGAATATAAAGAAGCGATGGAAGCTTTCCAAGAGAAAAACAATGAAAAGTCTCAATTGACCACTGCCCTTATTGAGGTACATAATTAACCTCAAACCATTACTACATTGCTTTAATCTTTTTTAATTCAAATTATTTTACATGTGTAGGTTTAATTAATTAAGAATGCGATTTACTTTATTCTAACCACCTATTATTTCTCACCTTTTTAAACTTTGTTTTATTTTATTTTTTAATTTTGTGGTGATAACTATTTAATAATTAATTACAGCTGGTGAATCAAAGTGAGAAATTCAGAATGAGGAAGCTTGAAGAACTCAGCAAGATTGTAAACTCAAACACATGAAATGCACTATAATTGGCCTGTTGATCACATTCTCTGCATTATCTGATCTCCATTAATTATTATTCTACTCTTTATATATTCCAATTTAATTTTTAATTTTCGTTTTATGCATGTTAATAACATAAAAAACATGTTTTCCTAGCTATTTATGCAAGCTATGGAGTCAATTTTTCATTTAAGGGAAATTGGAGATACCCCTCAAAACAAGTTTCATTCGAATTCAGTCTCGTTTTTTCTTTTGTTTACCTATTTGACGTACCCCGTACTTAACTGGGGCCATAAATTTGGATGGGTGAGCTAAACTTATCTAGGGATTCACGGGTAGCGCTCTGCCCTTGAATTGTTTTAGGAATATTTATGTAAAACTAACACAAATAATTAAATACTTACAAACATTAATTAAACAAAAATAAATTGTAATATAGTATGTACATATATGATAATTAGAACTCCGTAAAACAAGAGATTGAATAGGTGAGTAAAATTGTTTGAAAAAAGATTAAAAAAAAAACCCGAAATAGATGGAAATTTGATTGACTAAACCCATTGAGAAGAACTATTTTTTATTTTATTTTATGATAAATTGGTTTTATCGTGGATTTTATATAAATTTTGATAAAATATTTCGAAAGATTAATTATCAAAGTTGGATTCCAGAAATATACATAATGGTTTGTTTTTTAACGAGAGCCAATACATAAGTAGTTCTAAATAAAAAAAAAATGCACTATATATATACAAAAAAGGACGAAATGCACTTCGCTCCTAGAAATTTTTAGTTTTCACACTCTCTCCAATATAAATTATGAAATGAGACTCTCCCTCTTTCAAATTTTGTTCTTGTACTTTGTCTTAAATGGGACTTTTCGGCGTATTTTTCACCAGTTTTTTCATATCTCCTTCAACTTGAAGGGTAGTTTTGTCATTTCACCAACTCCATCCAAATATTATAATTCTACCACTAGTGCCGACACAATTACGGCCAATTTCTCCTGCCTTAACATCTCTGTCAGAAGCAGCGCCTCAACGCCACTGTCTAAATCCGCACTTGATTCCTTCCATAATGCGTTGGTGGCCACAGGCCAATGTCCAGGAAGCTTAATGAGGCACGCCAATATGATGCCGCCCACCGCCATGTGGGTTAAGACACCAGCGGCGCCGACCACCGTCGTTTTCGGCAGCACATTCTAAATGCTCCTGTGACCGCAGCCGATGGCGGTGGCAACACCCCCTCATCCTTTGGCCCATCCGAGGCAGCCTAGATGTGCTCGTTCCCCAACCCGGTGCAAATGCCGTTGCATTTTATGCTGAGGTTTAATTACTTCGGCAACCTCGATTTCAAGGCTAAAGATCCAGTCCATTGCAACTTGAATCGATATTAATGAGGCATGCGAATATGATGCCCTTCAAGTTGACGGAGATATGAAAATACCGATGGAATACGTTGGAAAGTCCCATTTTGGACAAAGTGCAACTATAACAAAATTTGGAAGGGAGACTCTCATTTTTTAATTTGTAGGGGGAAAGTGCGGAAACTAAAAATTTCTAGGGGCAAAGTTCATTTTGTCCTAAAAAGAAGGGCGAATTGCATATAACCCCAAGGAGAAGGACTTAAATGTACATATTATGTCCAAACCAAAAACAATTTCGCAAATAGACCCATCTCCAAGCTTTTTTTTCCTAAAATACCCGATATGATATAATTTATTTTTTTATCCATTAAATTATAACTTCACCGATATTTCACATTCACCCATATTTTCACAATTTAAAAAAAAATCAAAAAAAAATTCCCATAATTCTTTTCTAGCCGGTTGCCGGAGTTGACCGCAGTCTCCGAGGTTGACTTTTATTATTTTTTTAACAACCAAGACAGTAATTTTATTGACGCAGACAGTATAATTAATTATCAGTGACACTGAGAGTTTGAGACAGTAAAATTATTATACGAGACAGAAATATCGCAGGCTGAGATGGTATTATTACTAACAATGAAATTCCTGTTTGAGACAGTAATATTACAGCTTGCGACATAAATATTAAATTAACATAGTAATATTAACACATTAATATTACTGTCTCAGACAAAATTATTAATATTGACACATTAGTATTACTAAAGATAGTTAAGAAATCTACTTTGCATGAGTTTCAAAGTGTCCGCATCACATTCTGATATAGAGAAACAAATAGTGTTGCTGATGCACTTGCAAAAATGGGAACGTCTCTTTTGATTAACCATGTTTGTACTTTTGGTAATCCACCCCAGTTTCTCCTTGATCTTTTGGCTAAAGATAAGGATACGTTTTATGTACGCAAAACTAGTAAACCTTGTACTAAAACTCTTTTGCTTTTATAATATATGAAGTACTTTGCTTGTTAAAAAAAAAAAGATAGTTAAGAAAACAAATGTTTCAAAAAAACTAAAAATTAACGCGGGAGACCGACGACTGTCTTGACGGGAAAAAAAATCAGGAATTAAAAAAAAAAAAAAAACAAAGTCAATGTTGGAGTCCGATGACCAACAGCTGTTTACCGGTGGTCACCGGCAGTGCTAGTCAAAATTGGGTATCTCTAACGGTATTACAAAATTGCTTAGGAAAACTACCAGTAATAGTTGCAGTGATTTGCACAGCTTAATTACATTGATAAACAACAACTTAGTTAAAATAAACAGAATAAAAAACTAAAATAAGAATAGATGCATCCCACATCACATACACAACTTACAGAGCCATCTTATAAAATTTATTTACAGAGTTTAGTTTTATTAATGAGCAAAAATTCTAGAAAAAAAATATGTATTTCATGTAGTTCTACTACGAAGTTTGAGCTAATTAGACAACTCATGAAGCTTATTTGATTAGCTTAATCAAATAACTTAGTTATATTGATGATCAACAACTTAATTAAAATAAAATAAAGAATACTTAAATCTCGTGTCTACATCACCACCAACATTACCATCAATATTTGCAAAAAGAATTTCGTATTTTTTCTTTTTGGTTTCTAGGATTATCAGGTTATGGCGGGGAAAAAGTGTAACAAAAATTGTATGTATGCGCGCGTGTGCGGTTGCGTATGTGTGCGCCTGAGTGTCAGAGCTTCGGCCAAGGTAGCGACAGAGAATGGAGGTGAAGCAGATTTGACGAAATGCAGATGGTTAGACAAAGAACAATTAGATTAAGCGGATTGAAGGCGAATATGAAGAACATAGAACTTTTGGCAAAATAACAAAAACCGAATTATCCTAATCTGCAAAATTATTTTTGCCCAAGGGTCTTTAACAAATGGAGTTAATATGTTTAGGTCCCTCGTAGCAAATTTAATTAGAACTAAATGACAACCCCAAACTAAATCTTTTAAATACATCCCTATTTTAAAATATAATATGTCTTACATTCCTAATTTTTTTAATCATTAATTTAGCCTTATACCCTAAATATAAAATATATTTACGTTTCTCCAAACCAGATATGTTTCTTTTATTTTATTCTCTCTATTTTCTTTCGCCCGTTCTCTCTTGTTCTCTACAGACAATGTTTCTTTTCTTTTACTCTCTCTATTTCTCTTGTTCTCTACATGTGTGTTGTTCTTTCTCTCTCTCCCTCTCGATCTCTCTTGCTTCCAGTTATATGGTGGGTGGCTAAGGCGTCTATGGCGGCGGTGGGGTTGGCCATGGAGGCGGCGGGGTAACGTGGGGGTTGTTATGTAGGCGATCATGGTAAATGGCCGCGGCTATAGAGGCGGTGCGTATGGTGGGGGTTGTTATGGCGGCGGCCATGGAGGTCGTGGGTATGGTGAAGATAGTTATGGAGGCGGTTACGGGTGGTTGTGGTCGCAATTATGAAGGGGGCTGGTGGTGGCGGCTATGTTGACGGTTTTGCAAATCTAGGTTTTTATGTTGGCGGCTATGACGATGGTGGTTGTAGATCTAGGATTTTATTTTTGGATGACTATGAATTTTCGTGGGTGTCTATGATTGTCTATATGGCTTGTTGGCGGCTAGGGTTCAAAGAGGGAGTTAGGATTTTCGCGATGGAGGGGATCTAGGGTTTGGTGTGGAAAATTCAAGATTTTTCGATTTAGATGTCTACAAATGTCTATGAGTGTCTATGGTGTCTGACGGCGGGTTGAAAGGGAGTTAGGGTTTCAAGATGTCTATTGTTCCCTACAAATTACTACGGTTTCTATGGGTTTCTGTAGATTGTCTACGGCAAAAAAAAATTTAAAAAATCATAACTTTCAATTTATCTAGAAAAAAAGGGGAATAAAAATAGTTTTATATATTGAAAAAATATGAAAAATGAAAAAAAAAGGAAAAAAAGAGAAAAATGAAACCATAATTTTTAATTTTATGTAGGAAAAAGGGAGAAATAGATTTTTATATAATGAAAAATATGGGTAAAAAAACGTGTTCCACGAAAAATTAAAAAAAATGGTAGATGCAAACTTAAAAATGTTAAATAATACCATAGTTCATCATAGTATATTTATAATCTGTTGTAATTTTGAATTTGTGAGTAAATGGATACTTTTGAAATAAATTTAATAACGAATGTGAAACAAATTTTAATTAGACTTGTCATTTAATTCTAATACGATTTGTCACAAGTACTTATATCTTAGATATAAGATAAGACCCTTAACAAATTCTCTCATTATAATTGTCCAAATATAAATAAAATCCGTTTTGAAATGCATTCACCTAACCACAATTCAAAATTAGATGACACGTGTCCAAAAATGCAGGGCCAACATTCCTATGATATATTCCCACCGGCATACATATGTTGGGACAGACTGCAGGGGTGACACAAGTTTCGAGGTTATTATGAGAGATATATCTCTTTTTAAGTCCAAATTTTATGTAAACACAGGGAATTAACGGCGAGTTTCAAAGTTTGTTTCGACCGGCCGACGGCAATTGAACAACTATTAACGGCGATTTTCTGTAAATAAGTATCCATTATTTTCCGGTTGTGAATGTTTAATTTGTTTTTCTCTTTTCCAATGTCCCCTGTTTTATCCATTACAAATGATTTGTTGTTTTAATTTTTTTGTGCTTGCTGAACAAACAAAAATTAAATAAAATAAAATGAAAAAAAAAAAGAGGAAAAAGAAGTGGTTCTGTTCTGTTGTTTATAATGACAACATGAAATTCATAATTTGATACAAATAATTATTCCTTACTAACAAGTTTCTACATATATATATGCAGAGATATGTCAAGTTATGAGTACTTGCACATGATCAGAGACATAAACGATTCAACTGTCTGGTGGGATGCTAAGGTCGTAGTATATGACAAAACGCACCCCCGTCGCGCATCGTCCAGCCCGCGTCTATACCAACGCATAACTTTCATGGATACACTGGTACGTATATTGTATGGCCTACTCTTTGTATGTACTAGAAAGGTGTATATTGTATGGCCTACTCTTTGTATGTACTAGAAAGGTGTACGTGCGTTTGCACGTTACTGTGATAATTTTCCTCTATATTTTAGACAAATTGCAATTTCAAAATTTGCACTTTCCCTCCAAGAAATTGAAAAATGAGACGCCCTTGCAAAATATGTTTATGTTTCACTTTGTTCCAAAGTCAAACTTTCGGTGTGTTTTTTCACCGGAATTGGCAAAATTCCATCTACTCAAAAGGTTATTGACGTCATTTCACATTTTCTACTAAATCCAAGCCCTAATATCATTCTCTTTTCCACGGCAATCGTCAAAAACTCCACTCCCATTTCACCAAACAATTTCAGAACACAAAATTAGGGATTTTTCTCTCTGGGCAAGTTGTACATATTGTAGTCCGAACATTGTGAGAATCTTCCATTATTTCTTCGATTAGAAAGCTATCCCAGTTTTCCCATTACAAGTGTTAAAAAAAATTCATGAGAGAACGAACACAAAATAGGACACAAGTAACGTGTCGTTTCAATTCAAACAATGTGTATGCAATTGTGAGAAAACAAATGCATCAGAAAACACACAAAGATCTTACTCCGTACATTTAAACTCTCGCTTTTGGAGAGAAGAATCGTAATTTTGGAGAGGAGAACCCTAGATTTTCAATCCTCAGGTTTGAGTAGACGGATTTGTCAATTCCAATAAAAATATAACGCCGGAAGTTTGACTTTGGGGCAAAGTGCAACATAAATATAAATATATTATACAAGGGAGTGTCTATCTTTTGAAATTCTAGGGGGAAAGTACGATTTTTTAGAATTTCTAGGGGACTGTCTATTTTTTGAATTTCTAGGGGGAAAGTGCGACTTTTTAGAATTTCTAGGGGGCGAAGAGCAGTTTTTACTTATATTTTTCTACATTATTTGTCTTTTAATAAATATTATTTTTTATATTTAAAATGTGATGTACATATTTTGAGATAATAAATATATCTTCCATTGTATTATAAACAGGGACAAAAAGTTGATGCAACAATATTCGGAGACGACGACATTGCTTTTTTCGACCACGCATTCAACTTGCACGAAACGTATATAATCAGTAACGCGTGGGTAAATTGCATCTCCGAGAAGTGCTACAACAGACACAACTATCCGTATCAGTGGGTCGTTGATATAGATACGGAATTTCGTTTGGAAGTGTCCGATCCTATCCCACGTTCCCTCCTACAACATCACTTTACTTCTTTCTCCGACATTCATACCCTCATCGGCAATGAACATTTACATCTCGGTACGTAATTTATACATGTTTTTTGTATCTTCGATATATTTTCTTTGTAATAACTAATTCAATAATGTATCTAACAATGTATTACCATTATAGATATTCTTGCTATAGTGATCGACCGAAAGGAACCACGCTCAGTCTTTGCAAGAGGCGGACTAAATCACATTAAAGAATATGTTTTGCTGGATCAACAGTTGCGTACCTAATTCCTTACATTTATTTAATTGTCTCGAATTTTATAGGATTTTAGTTAAATTTATTTATTTGTCGGCTAATAATTATCGTTCTATATGTAAACAGGCATAAAGCCGTTGTGCTAACTTTGTGGAACGTCGTCGCTGAATCGGAAGGAAATGTCATCGACACTTGCATAGACACCCTCCCAATTATACGAGCAACTGCACTTTTCGTCTCTCCATATTACGGCACGTTTTTTTACTCCCCCTATATTATATTGCTGCACTTTTTTTTTTATCTAAATAAATAATTTCTTTTATTTATTCTTAGGTGGATCTCTCGGCTCAACAATGTGGACAACTGTTGCGGTGAATCCACAAATTCCCGAGGCAGCAGCTTTGAAATCGTGGTACTAAAACACTCGTCAGTAGATCAAAAACCGCCACTTATAAATATCCTATTTATTGTACATTGCAATACTTCTTGTATGCCTATCTGCAGGCGACAAAATAACATGCTCGCTATAGCAGAAGCCGTAAAAGGAAAGCAACACTTCGATAAAATCTCCTCAATTTCGGACATATTTGTCGACACGAAGGTGAATGCTGATCGATGGCGTACAATTTAATTTATCAATTACCGCAACAAATTATCTTCTATTAATTAATTCTTGCCTATGGTGGCACACGTTTAATTTATTGAAGGTTGACGAATTCGATGTCAGAGTTACGGCAAAAATCACTCGGCGTAACCAGAAAGGATTCTATATGGGATGCGGAGAATGTCGTTCGGCTGTTAGTGCAGATTACAACTACAACTATACTTGCAATATTTGCAAGAAGAATACTACTGCTACACCACAGTATGATACATATTTAAAAATGATAAAAATAGCTATTTTAAATTAATATTATTCACTAATCGCACGTGCATTAATGCAGCGAAAGCATTCTCCTAACCGTTACCGATCCCAGTTGCTCGTTGGATGTTATCGCCTTTGGAGAACAGGCTGTCAAGTTTACACGTGTGAATGCCGTAGCCTGCATGGAGATGTTCGACAAGGTAATTAAGCAAGAAAATCTCTCATATTAATTAAAAAAAATAGATAAAAAATTCGCTACGTACATCTCATCCGTGTATTCATAACAGGGCCTTAAACTTACCACGGACGAAATTAATACAACGCTCGGCAAGGTTTCTTTTCTGATGAAAATCAAGAAAAAGAAACGCGAGTTTCGAAATGCAGTTGAATTCCAATACACTGTCGTGAAGAGTGAAGGTAATTTTATACTTCGAATTGAACCACTAACATTTCGACACGTGTTAATTATTTTTTAACCCCCGGCCCTCTCACCTTTGTTTGTTCTCTGCTATTGCAGTTAACACAGAGGCTGCGGCATCTTCCAGTCATTAATTCCCTCCACTGGTATGTATACATATTTTTGTCGTAAGGCCACTTCATGCTTCTTTTTTTTTTTTTTTTTTTTTTTTTGCAATTGGGACCCTGGCTTAAAGAAACGATCATCATTAGGACCCCTAACTTGGGATTTATAGATTTTAATTTGTAGATTTTTATCATGTTTGTATGAATTTGTTTAATAGAAGAGTTCCAATTAAAGCTCAAAGAATCACTAATTACATCTTTAATCAAAGTATTTTCTAATTCCACAATCATTCTTCAATTTCTTTCATTTAACTTTTATTGAACATTGAAAAAGAGGCCTACAAACCATTTTGGCCTTCCATATCGAAAAATGAAATAACCGATAGTAGTTCCAAATACAAATCCACAACCATACCCCGAAACAACCGCTTGCCAACCAAAACCATCTAGAAAGCCGAAATCATCAACTTGTGGTAATATTGGAGGCAAAGGTTGAACTTCGTTTTGTCCGCACATTTTTGTCAATGGAAACCCACACAATCCCGAGTTTCCCATATATGAACTGTTGTCAAATGTAGGAAATTGGCCGGTACTCGATTGAGGTATCTGCCCGACAAGATTATTGAACGAAAGATTTAACAAAGAAAGAAATGTGAGACTTGTCAATTGCGATGGAATTTCCCCGACCAATTGGTTTGAAGACAGGTCCAAAGATTCAAGTATGCTCATATTTCCAAGAGACGATGGTATATTTCCTGTGATGTTGTTACGAGACAAATTCAAGTACCGTAGAGAGTTAAGATTTCCTATGGATTCCGGAATAGTTCCGGAAAATCTATTCCCGGACAAGTCAACGGTTGTGAATGTTTGTAGGATTCTCATCACGGGAAGCTCCACACCTTTCAAAACAAACACGATCGACTCTTGATAATTCGAAAACCAATTTCCCTTTTCGATTCTCCTTCCCTCCACAACCGTCATGGCTCTAAGATTGCTCAAATATCCACTAGGCAACGAGCCGGTAAATTGATTCAACGATACATCCAAAACTTGCAACTTGGGGAATGGAAGCTTATCCGTTGAAGTAGATAATATGTCACCATTTAATCTATTAGACCTCAAGACAAGCACTCGAAGCTCGAGAAGAGTTTCCATCCAATAAGGAAACACGTCTCGTATTCCATTGTTGCCGATATCAATAACCTCCAGTTGTCCGCAGTTGACGAGGGATTGTGGTAACTTTCCGTCGAATTTATTACCGTTCAAGTTTATCGACTGAAGGGCACAACGCTTTGAAAAAGTTGTCGGAATCGGACCATGAAAATTATTTCCCTTCAAATGCAAGACCCCTAAAGTTGTGCTCAAGTGTCCTAAACAATTTGGAATTTGTCCTTCTAAATTGTTACTTGACAGATGAAGATATTGAAGGGATGTCAAGTTGCAAATGGACGACGGAATGTCGCCTATGAGTTTGTTGGAATGGAGTATTAAGAGAGATAAGTACTGCAGGTTCCCAATTGTGGAAGGTATTCTACCGGAAATATTGCTTTTTGCAAGATTGAGTGAAACCAAATTTCGAGATGTTCCGATTGTTAGTGGTATAGAACCTTGTAATAAATTGTTGGAAAGATCGATCGTCCGGATATTGGTTGTGAATATTTCCCAAGGAATGTTGCCTGAAATATATACAGAAAACTTGTAAAATTAAGAATCAACAGCTTATTTTGTGAATTTTTAAGATTTAAAAAAATAAAATTACCAAACACTTTGGACGAACTTATAAGCTCTTAAACATCGTGTACGCCATTTTTAACAGCTTATAAGCTTAGCAAAGCACACTCTAAATTAAAACGCTATCTAATTATACGAATGCAACATATAAAGAGGTTAACGATCAATGATTATATGCAAAGAGAACGAATCTTACCACTCAAAGCGTTGTTTCCAAGTAATACATCTTCAAGTCTCGTCAAATTCCCGATTTCTCTTGGCACCGAACCACTAAATCTGTTGAATGATAGATATAACGCATGAAGTTTCGGACATCGTCCAAGATTAGATGGTATTTCCCCACTGAGCATGTTGTCATTTAAATGAAGAGCATTCAGATTATGTTTGCATATGTCGATAGGCAGATTTCCTGATAAGATATTACCGAACAAGTAAATATATTGCAATGAAGATATGTTAAAAATCGTTGGAGGTAACGGGCCCGTCAACTGATTATATGTCATTTCCAATATCTGCAGTTTATTTAGAAGACCAATTTCTTCTGGTATAGTACCTGCATGATAATATATAGGGGATCACTACATTGGTATATATCAATATGATTAAATACAATGTATATATGTGCTGATGTGAGAAAACAACTAAAGCGTAAATTACGTCCAACCCTCTAAGGTAAGGTCGAATTACGAAAAAACTCTCCAATTATTTCTTTATTCTCAATTACCTCTCCATTTTTCGATTCAGGAAAAAAAAAAACAAAAACAATTACTCCTCCATTAACTGCATTCTACCATTGCTGCACTTTTTCACAATTTTAATTTTTATTAAGTTCTTTCACAATAAATTGCTTTCTTTTCAAAACTTAAAGCACTGGAACATAAGATCTTGGCTCTTATTTGTGAAATCTGACTTTGATAAATTTCTACTTCCGAGTTAAATATTGGTATGCCTGTAGATCACTCAAAAATAAAAAATAAAAAATAAAAATAGACATTAATTTATCCAAAAATGGTTTTCCACTTATGCTTATGTTTCATTTAATTGTAAGGTTTGTATTATCAGTATCATTTTAATTTCGTCATTTGGGTGGGAAGCGACAGTTACAGAAACTAAACAAATAATGGAGAAAAATATTAATGGTGGAAGATGGTTAAGGAAGGTGTAATTGAAGAATAAGGAAAATTTTGGAGAAAGAAAATCATAATTGCCTATAATAAAGTGATTCTATTAATTTATTTGTTTTCCTGTAATTAAAATTACATAATTATTAAATGCCACATGTTAAAATTTTAAGACACCCGGTGAAGTTCACCAGGTGTAGCATAGAATAGACCGAGAGGAGAGGGGAAAGATGGTGTAGGCTTTTGGGGGTAATTATGTCATTTCACATGCAAAAATGAAGAAGAAACTGCACAATCCGTTCGTGCGACACACGATATGCTCCGAGGAGGTTTTAGCCTTTGACTAATTAGTATAGGGGGGTTTTTGCTATTTTTTATTTTTTTTCATGATAGGGGGAATCGCACTTGATACGATTTACACAGGGGTAATAGATGCAATTCACTCTTCCTAAAATGGATAAATTGACATGACCAGAAATATATTTTTGGTAATTTATGAATTTTAAAATTTTATTTAACTAATGGGCATAATAGACATTTAGCACCGGCAATTGAGCCGGGCCTAATCTAAGCCCGATGGCTCGGCCCGACTATATTTGACCCGAGCCTACTTATTAATGAGCCGGGCCGAGCTTGAGCCATTTCACTAAGCCCGATTTATTTATGCCGAGTTTGAGCCTACTATGGCTCAACCCGAATAAAGCCCGACCGATTAGGTTAATAATAAAATATATAATATATTTATTATTTTAATGTTATGACTCAGCATGCAAGTTACGACCGTATAAGATTATTTTATTTGGCAAAGAAAAAAGTAAAGATAAAAGGAATTAAGTGGTGGCGGTGGCAATAAGTTAAATATGAATCAAATGCAACATACCTATCGAAATCCAATTGCTGAAAGTTATCACCGAGATTTGAGAATATAATTTTTTTCCAATAATATAAGAGTTACTATTTTTTTTTTTTTTTTTTTAATCTTTCAGTCTTATTTTAAGTTTTTACAATAACTTGTAAAGACGGTTTAGGCTTTTTTTGGATTGACTTTAATGGAAATAAATCTTGTTTATCACTTATTTTTATAAATGTTTTTACTCATTACAGTTATATAGTAATGGAGTCTGATATAAAACCCGAAAACCGAAAAAATACATGAGCCGAGTTTAAGCCTATACTAATGAGGCCCGGTGCTATGTGAGGTTGAGCCTATAGTAACGAGGCCCAATGGTACGTGAGCTTGAGCCGTCCCAATCTCGGCTCACATGACCTGATTGCTAGCTCTATAGACATTATACATTTTTGTGTAAAAAATTTGATCAACCGTTAGTCAGAAGGGCTGTTTTTGGTAATTATGAATATTTGAGGGGCTTTAGATAATTTGTTCTTAGTGCAAATCTTACCAGAAAAACTGTTGACACCAAGATATAATTGTTGAAGCCGTGTGATGTTCCCAATTCCTCTCGGCACCTTTCCATCGAAGCGGTTGGCAAATAACGATAGAACTTCAAGTTGTGAACATTGGCCCAAACTCGACGGCATTTCGTCATCGAAATCGTTATAAGATAGATCAAGTGCAACGAGCCTACCAAGACTACCATGGCTGCAAATATCCACCGGTAGGTTCCCGGATAAGCTATTGCTCGCGACCGAAATAGTTTCCAACAACGACATATTGAATACGGATGAAGGGATAGGACCATGGAAACGGTTATATCCCAAGTTGAGTGTCACGAGAGACGAAAGATTTTCGATTTCGGGTGGGATTGTGCCTACGAGGCCCATATTTGAAATATCCAACCCGATCACCCTATTGTGGAGAGAGTAGCAAGTGACTCCAATCCAGCTGCAAACAGAGGCTTCGGTGGTCCAATTATTTGTAAGACTATTGTAAGGATCTGAAGTTATAAGGGATTTTAATGTAAGAAGTGAAGATCGATCGTTGTCGATATTGCTCGTTTTTGCGGTTGTCGAGTGATTATGAACCGAAAATAGGAACGCAAGTAGGAAAAAATGGCAAAATGACGATTTCTCCATTAGAGTGAAACTCTAAAGAATATAATTGTGTTGGCAAACAAGAAATTAAATGGAGCTATATTAGTGTGTGTGTGTAATATAATATGATTAGGTTAGTGTCCTATTATTGAGGAAGTTTCTATGTGAGAAGAGTGTTTTATCACCATATATATAAGTCCCATTTGGCACAAATATAACATTGGTTTTACAGATTAATATCTATTGTTTAAAGAAGTAAAACAGTGACGACAAATGAAAACAAACAAGATGCCTTGAGAGAAACAAGTCCAAAATTCATGGCAAAGAACTTCTTGGAAGCATATGAGTAGAAATATGATGATGGATTCAATCCTTTGCACGTTGGATATAATATGATCTAGATGAATCTTTGGTAGTTTAATTGAGGGATAATTACATTTTTTGTTCCTTATATTACACATTTTTTTCTGATTTTGGTCCTTCAACTTTTTCTGGCACAAAATTGGTCCTCAAATGACCAGTTTTTTTACACTTTCCGTCCACTGTTTGAAATTGATGTTAGTTTGGACAGAAAAACCACATGCGAGGGACGTGATCGTGTGTCACCTTTTTTTTTTTTTAAACTGAAATAGTATTAAAAATTATTAAAATAATAATAAAATTACCATAAAATTTGTAGTACAAGGAAAAATTGATTTTATTGTATAAACGACTAAAAATAATATTTCTGGAATTATAATATATGTTTAATCATTTCTTTTACATATTCTTTATTTTCAATAATTACAAAATAATGAAATAGATTATATTTATTTAAAAAAACTCCTTAATTAAATTTGGTATTATCAAATTAGTTATAGTGTTTTCAATTAAAAATAATAATATAAATAAATAAATAATATTTGTGAATAAAATATAGGGAAAATTTCACAAAAGTCCCCCATTACACAAGTGTCATTACAATGAGCCCATTTTTATTTTACATTTTTTAAATAAATCCAAAACAACTTTTATTATTATTTTTAAATTAATTAAAACACTTAATTATTATCATTATACTCCTAACTAAGAAATAAAATATATTTAATTTTGATATTAAAAGATATATAATATTTGTATCCATATATATATCTTAAATAACTCTCTCTCTCTCTCTCTCTCTCTCTCTCTTAATATACGCCTGCCCCCCAAAAAATATGTGTTTCTCTATTTTAGCTACGCTTGGCACAACAGAGATCTCTGGCGGCGCTAGGGGTTAATGTTGTTCGATTCTCGAGAGAATCGCATATGTATGAACATGTTTGGTTATACATAGTGGAATTCATTAATTACATGTACTAATGATTTCATTCATTACATAGTAGTTTTCATTAATTACAGAATGGATTTTTTGTAATCGAATTCTTTAATTATACAGTGGTTTTCATTAATTACAGAGTGATTTTGTAAATTGATAAGGTTTTAGTGAATTTTGCAATGGAATTTGTTAATTACATAGTAATTTTCGTTAATTATTGAGTGATTTTCGTTAATTATAGAGTGGATTACATTAATATTAATGTGGATTATGTTTATTTTGTAGTAATTTTTACTATAATTTCATAGTGGTTTTCGATGAGTATGTAGTGTATTTCAATTTTTTTAAATATGAACTATTTAAAAAAGTGAAAAAAAAAAACTAATTTTTGTTTTAAATTGATATTAAAAAACCATTTAAAAAATAAAAAAAATAATAATAAAACTTAAACTGAAATGGCGTGATAGTGAGAGAATTAGGGGATGGTGTGGGGAGAAAATATGGGGATTTGCATATCTACCAAAAAAGTAATAGATTTTTTAAAATAATATAATATGGTAATTTTCAGTAGGGGCATGCTAAATCCCACACTAAAATTTACTAAATCCCACACATAAATTAAAAAAAAAATCTCTCTCTAACTTTTTTCTATGATGATTTTTTCCATGTCACTCAAAATTCGTTAATCTTTCACGTGAATAATCATAAAAAGTGAGTTTAGGTTTATTATATTTAATATTTTTCAATTTCATTATGTCTTTTTTATTATTTAAATTCATATTAATTCGATTTTTTTTCTCAAATTCCAACTTTATTTTAGTTTGAACACATGAAGATTTTTCTCAAATTCGAACTTGGAATGATATGGACGTTTTTAGTGCGTGGTTTTGTGAAAAAGTTAGGGAAAAAGAAGAAGGGTGGGGAAGGAGAAGATGAGATTTTATGGAGAAAATTTTTCAATTGTGTGTATGATTTGGTAAAATTGGTGTGGGATTTAGCATATCAGTTTTCAGTAATATTAAATAGGGGCATTTTGGATTATTCCAGTCAATTGGGTTCATAACAAATATCAATTAAAAAAAATGGATTTATCAAGAAGTCAAAATTCAGTGAGGGGTGTTTGTCATTTCACATTTTTAGTACATTTAATTTATCGAATTGAATTTTATTTGGACAAAATTATAAGAATAAAGTGATAGTCGGGTTAAATTAACAATAGAGGTAAAAATAAGGGGTTGATGTGAACTGTCACGTGCCTCGCATGAGACTCTTCCATCTAAACTAACAGCGATTTCAAACTATAGACAAAACTTGTAAATAAAACTAGTTATTTGAGGACAAATTTTTCTTGCCGGATAAAGTTGAAGGATCAAATCGATAAAAGTATATGATATAGGTATCAAAACTGTAATTATACCTTTAATTGACAATTGGAAGCAAAAGGTCATTAAAAAACATCAAACGACTCCACTAATATATAAATACTTGATGTGCATTTGTCCATGAGAAAGTGTCAATCTTTTGTTTTCTGTTAGATATATATTATCATTTATCACGTCCATTTGTCCTTCTTTTAGTTTTAATTAGTAGTTATCTTCAATTTCAGTTAAGAAATAAGTATGGCTTGAATTTTTTTGCAAGAGTGCAAAGTGAACAACTTTGTATTCTAAGGGTGCAAAGTGAGATTGAGTCAATTTCATTAGACATTGGTAAAAGAATTTGAATTACTGCCTAATAGATTCATGAATTGCCTAATAGATGGTCTCTTACAATCCTTGTTCTCTTCTATGTAACACGGACACGGAAATGGCGATACAGAAAAATTGGAAAACGGACACGGGAAAACGGCATATCTCGACAAATGGGGATTCGGGAACTTGGGAAAACGTTGAAATATATATATATATATATATATATATATATATATATATATATATATATATATATATATATATATATATATATATATATATATATATAAGGTTTTATTTATATATATAAACTCTTTTTATATATTTTCATACAAAGATATTCAAAATAAAAATTACTATCAAATGTCAATTTGCAATCGATCACTAAATCATGTAAATAATTAGGGAAACAACAAAAATATTTAAAAATTTGCTATTCAAATATTTTTCTAACTTTTTAGAAATTGCAAAATAACCTATAAGGTGTCCGGCAGATGTCTTCGAATTTTCGCACGAAACATTAAGAAGTTGAAGTTTATGTGTTACATATGTTCTCATTGATTTGTAGAGTAAACACAAATCAAATCAAATCAAATCAAATACTTTTTATTTCATTCTAAGGCAATAATCAAATGACATTATTGTACAATAAATAAATAAAAAAAGAAAAAAGAAAAAAGACTAGATTCTTGAAATCTACCTCCTCTGGAAATTCAAAACCTTAATCCCATACACAAACACAAAGAAGAAAAGCAATGCCCATCCAACATGTGCCAAAGCAACATACCCAAGAAAATCAGATTCATAACCTAGAAATTGTTTAAGGTAGTCCTTAATCGGCATGTCTCCATGCTCGGGTACATGTACATTGTCCATTTTGTCCCCGACCTGTGATGTCACTAGCCCGTATATCGTCCATGCAACCGGCGACCCCCAGTAGTACCATCTCCACCATATCGGAATTTCCTGCAATTTTTATCCATACAAATATAATTTATTTTTTAAGAAAGCACGACGAATGGAAAAATTACACTTTTCGTCCCTCAGGTTCAGTTCGATTTCACATTTGGTCCAAAAAAATAGATTCAATCCCTTGTGTTTCTAAAATTTAATACTCCTGGTCTTTTCTGTCAATTTTTCATTAGTACTAACGGAATCAAGCATGTATGCATTACGGTCTTAACTGACGGACTAACGCTAAATTGACGGAAATGACCAAAACTGTTACATTATTAAAACATGAGGGACTAAATCTATTTTTTTCTGAACAAAAGGGGACCAAATGTGGAATTTAGGTAAACTTGAGAGGCGAAAAGTGTATATTTTTTCTTTTCTTTTTTGTGCTTACCATTCTTGGAATGAGAAAACCGGAGAAGAGATTCCAGAAGCTAAGGAAGAACGACATCACAATAGCAGCTATTTGATAACTTGGCGTGAGAGCGACAAGCATCATTCCGTATAGTGTGAAGTATACGAAGCACATAAATACGTAGTAATAAAACCATAAGAATTTCGTCGCACCCCACTCGAAACCGATCATCGAGTAGAGTAGTAGACTGTATACAAATGTCTGAATCGCAACATAGATTGTTTCAACCGAAACCTGTGAAAAAAAAATAATAACATTACAAATAAACATTTAGTGAATTTGTTCGATTAATTAATCGGACAAGATCGTAATAACCGACTCTGTTTATTTTTACCTGCGCAAACGCGTAGGGCAATGCCGAAAACATGCCAGCTGCTCTTTCGCGGTAAAAGACCGTTCTTTCTATTGCAACCACAGACTGCACCGCGGAAGTGTTCGTTCCTCCGAGGAAAAGTACAGCCGCGTACATTGCTCCCATAAGATTCGACAGGTCTTGTTCTTTAAGGCTATTCAAAATAAATTTTAAAAAATTAAAAAGTTTAAAGGGTAAATAGCACTCAACCCCCTGTGGTTACAATCTTTTGCAGATGACCCCTGGTGCTCGTAATTTCAAGAAAAAACATGCAAAAATATACAACATGAAAATCTAACTTACATTTTGTCTCCTTTATCCCAAAAGATGACTCCGAATATGATTCCGATTACGGTTGTCATGAAAAATCGGATAACGTTGTACTGTGGATTCCTCCAATAAGACCAGTGTTGTTTCCAAAAACACGCGTTGAACTGTACGAGGAACGGTTGTGAGTATTTAGTCGGGAAGTACAGGTCGTGGGATCCTTGTTCGGGAATGCTCAACTTCTTATTCAGTTCGAGATTCTTGCTGCAATTATTCAGGACAACGGAGAACAGAGAAATAAATTCGACTGTAAGATAATTTGTTGCAACTATGTAAGGTAATTAAAACTAATTAAGATTAGTTTTTCTATGTGAGTTAACCTATGCAGAGAAGAGTTGGAGTATGCTTCTGCAAAGTCAATCCCGAGTTGAGTTTCGACTGCCGATGAACTAACTTCGAGCATCCATGTCGCGGGATTGTATCCGTACGTGATTTTCAGCACCCCGGGAATCGACTGCATGATATGTGAATATGTTTATATGGCCAAATAGTTCATTTTTCCAATTTTGGAATAGACCATAAACTTGAAAAAAATATGGCTTTATTGCATTTAGAACCCTATGTTTACTCTAATTGTCAAAAAACAAAAAACTCCCGGTGTTATAAATATTAGCAAAATCGCTCTTATGATTCAATTCTATTAGCAAACTACCCCTGAACAGGCACCACTTAGGGGGTTATGTGCTAAAAAAATGAATTACAGGGTATTTTTTTGCTAGCATTTATAACACGAGAAGTTTTTAGCAATTCGGTATAGCACAGGGGTATTAAAATGCAATAAACTTAAAAAAAAAGAAGGAAAAACTCACCTCAAAGTATTCTACTAGAAGCTGAGAATTGGTACCAAGAGCTCCTGCATATATAACTTGTCCACCTCTCTTCATCAGAAATAGCTACAGAAAACGTATATATAATTAGCCTCAAAATGCGGTCGATTCTTACAAGACAATTACGTACAGCCAGTGGCGAGGCCAGAAAGTTTGGTGAGGGGGGGCTTAAACACACGGGGGTTCGGGGGTTCAAAGATTTGCTACGAAAGAAATTTGAGATGAAAATTCGATATGAATTTTTTTTCCTTCACTCTCAGAAGATAATCCCAAAACGAATCGCGAAAGCTAAATTGCTATGAAAATTTAAGAAACATGAATATCAAGTCGATTATCAAATTGACACAGAGAAGTTGTCAAATGCTAAAACGATCGTCGGTGGATGGCAATTTAACGGCTATTAGTGTGACTGTGAGAGAGAACAATTTTTTTTTTTTTTTCAAGAAACGTAATGAACTTGAGATATAGAAAATGAGAGCAAGTCATACATGGGGTGATAGGGGGCTTTGAGTAAGTGGACTAAAAATAAGTGGGCTTAAATGATATAATTAAATAGACTAAAAAATTAAATAGAATATATATATATATATATATATATATATATATATATATATATATATATATATATATATATATATATATATATATATATATATATATATATATATATATATGAATAGACTAAAAAAAATAGGATATATATAGGATTAATTAAATAGACTAAAAAAATAAATACAATATACATGGGGGCTTTGAGTAAATGGACTAAAAATAAGTGGACTTAAATAATATAATTGAATTGACTAAAAAATTAAATAGAATATATATATATATATAATAGTAAAAATTTGGGAAGTGAGGGGGGGCTTGAGTCCACCCTAGCCCTTGGGTGGACTCGCCCCTGCGTACAGCTAGAAAACGAAAAAAGTACCTCGTCAAATGATTCGAAAATATCGATGCTCGGTTGATGAATAGTGCATACTACGGTTCTCCCTGTGTCGACCGTGTTCCTCACAGCACGCATGACAATGGCGGCAGCTCTAGCATCCAAACCGGAAGTTGGTTCGTCCATGAAAATAATCGACGGATTTGCGACAAGTTCGACTGCAATTGTAAGCCTTTTTCTCTGTTCGGTGGATAAACCATCGACTCCAGGTAGACCAACTAAAGATCCTCTCAACGAGTTCAACTCCACTAACTCCATCACTTCCTCAACAAACATCTGATAATTAAAAAAAAAAAAAAAAAATATATATATATATATATATATATATATATATATATATATATATTAATACTAGATCAAGAAAATATTTTTATGATGAGAGAGAGAGTGGAGAGAGAAAGTTGCCTGTCTTGTTGCATTGGATACATCTGCGGGGAGACGAAGCCAAGCGGAATAAAGGAGACTTTCGTAAACTGTGACGTGTGGAGAATGGATGTCGTTCTGCTCGCAATAGCCACTTACACGAGCAAACGTTTCTTGATTTTTAGGGTAACCGGATATTCTGATTTCTCCTTCGATGTATCCACCGGTTTTCCTTCCGGCTAAAACGTCCATTAGAGTTGTTTTTCCGGCACCACTTACTCCCATCAATGCTGTCAAAACTCCTGGCCTGAAAGCACCGCTCACATCCTTCAATAACTGCAGCCTCGTTTCATCGACCCCTTCGATTTTCATTTCCTGACAAAGATAAATTGTATATGTCCATTTTATTTTTTTTACGAGGCTAATTCTAAACAACTCAAGACTTTTATTGCGTAGGGTTACTTACTGCTGGCATGTCGACGTAGTAGTTGACATGATCGAACGAAAGTGACAAGGGCTCGAACGGAAGCACCATTCCTCGTTTGTTATTCGCCTCGGTTGCAATTTCTTGTTCTCGATTATTCTTCCCTGCATTACCGATATGGATGAAGCGTTACCTCGGACATTACTAACAAGGATGACATGAAGAAACATAAAATAAAAAATCAAATTTCAAACCTTCGCATATTCCGTCGTTCTTGCTTTCGTCCTCCAAGTTTGAACTAACCGATTTCGTATCTCCCAGTGCTGCAGATCAAATCTTATTTTCTGTTATATCGAATTTAGCCAGTTATATTACCATTTTTCTTTTCGATAATAAAAATAATCTTACGCTTTAAGTACGTCAGTGCTGCAACGAAACAGAGATTGAAGAACAGAGAAAACCCGAACAGAGCAACGACGCAAACCCAATACCAGTGTTCTTCAGTGAACATTCCCCTACCAGCTAGAAGCTCCTTTCCGGAAGTACTACCAGGAAATCTCGTATCGTCATTCGGCTGTAAATCAAATCGTATATTACGAAAAGAAAAAAAAATATATATATATCCAATTACGAATAAAGAATTATAAAATGTGTGACACAAAGAGCTAGCAATAATTGGCTCACCAAGGACCATCTTGGATCGAGAAATTCCACAAGGACGATTGCGTTTTGTCCGTACGACATTGGGGAAAGGTAATAAGCCCATTTCATCCACGGTTGAAGATCATCTGCAGTAAAACGTGATGCGTTTAGACTTTTTAATTGCATGAATTATTTGAATGAAATATTAGGAGTAGAAGTTTTCGATTCTTGCTAACCTTTGGCAATAATGAATCCACCGAGTACGAAAACCAACAGCAACGTGAAGGTGCCTAGTGTATTTGCGACGACTTGCGTTCTTCCGAGGGCTGCAATGAAACGAAAGAGGCCTAACGCCATCTGATGAATGCCCACAAACGCCAAGTACTGTCGGAAGAACCTGTAATAAATAAAATATTACATTAAATCGACAACCTTAGTTTTTGTAAACTATCATAAAAATGTTGCATGACCGGATTTTCGAAATTGGTGGCGGTCGAATTCGAACAGAGGACCTTTCATTTGGCATGACTTTAATACCACGTTGAATATAATCACCACTTAAGTTAGATAAATAATTTAGAGTTTATTGCAATTAGTACCCTTGTGTTTTATCGAATTGCTACAAAACTACCCCATGTTATTTTTGTTTGCAAAACCCCATGATTTTAGCAATTAGTCACTGATTAAGGGGTTGTGTGCTAAAAAAACATTGAATCATAGGGATATTTTTGCTATTAAACTAACATGGGGTAGTTTATAGTAATTCGATATAATACAGGGGTACTAATTGCAATAAACCCGAATAATTTAATATGAGTTTATTGCATTTATTACCCTTGTTATATGGAATTGCAAAAAACTCCCCATGTCATTAATGTTAAGGGAAAAAAAAAACCCTTATAATGCATTGTTTTTGCATATTACCCTATAAATAATGAGTTCGTTTTGGGCCGTTTGGTTTAAAAATGAATCATAGGGGGGGTTGGGGTTTTCTTTAACAATTAGAGAAAACACAGGGTGTTGAATGCAGTAAACCCGATTTAATATTTATATCTCCAACAAAACAGAAATGCGAAAGCACTTACCTACTAGCGGCCGGAGCAAATCCAACGGTGTAATAAGTGAGAACAATCCATATCCCGGATTCCATAATCGAGATTGGAATCCTTAGTAGCCAAATCGGTAGCGCAAAAGCCCAAGCCGGATAAAACAAAGCATCCCTTTGTTTGAAAAACACGGGAAGCCGAAAAATGGTCATTGCTAATTCCGCCATCCCATTAAACATCACATTAATAAGACTAAAAAATAGAGCCCCGTAAAATTTTCTCCCGTCGTCTATATGCCCGTGCTTCATCTCCGTTCGAAAGAACACCGTAAAAGTAAAAAGAGCCATAATCGTAATCTGCGTGGTTTTAAAAATGTACACGAACGAGTTTCTCTTCATTAACAACCACTCCCTCGACAAACACGCCTTGAAAAGATCTTTGTTGGAAATACCGTATTTATCCTTCACCAAAGTAGCTGGATGAGCTCTACTCTTGTCGTAAGGAATTCCCAATTCGCCGAATATTTTCTGCCCGACGTAGAAAGATTTAAAGTAATGCACAAAGTCCGATACCGATACATATTTGTACGGTATGTTCTTTCTCGACCAATATTGTTCTTGATCTTTATTTGAAGTAACTTCTTGAAGAAAATCCGCGACTCCTTTTCTTTCGGGGCATTTGAATCCAACGCTCTCGAAAAAATCGAGCACGCTTTCACGTGGGCCCTGATAGACTATTTGACCTTCCGAAAGCAAAATTATATCATCGAAAAGATCGAAAGTTTCGGGTGCTGGTTGGAGAAGGGAGATTATCATTGTTATATCCATTATGTGAACCATTTGCTTCATATATTTGATTATTTGAAATGTGGTTGAACTATCGAGACCGGTCGATATTTCGTCCATGAAGAAAACTTTTGCGGGCCCCACCAACATTTCTCCTGCACGAGAACATGTGCATTACTATTATTTGCTCAAGGAGAAAATTAAATGATCTTGTTATGTTCCGAAATTACTGCAAGAAATTTAATTTATTTATTACCGGTTGTCACACGCTTCTTTTGTCCTCCGGAAATACCCCTTCTCATTTCATCTCCGACCATAGTATCGGAACAAATATCCAGTCCAAGTATCTAATTATCAAATATTGTGGTAATATATTAGCATGGTATCGTACAAGTGAAGAAAGAAGAGTTTATTGCATTCAGTACCCCTCCGCTATATCGAATTGTTAAGGAACTCCCGTCTCCGTTCCACAATAACTGTCACTTTAGAGAAATACTTTTGTTTCACGCTATTTGTCACTTTAGTGTTCCAATACTGCATTAAATGCATTTTTCCATGTTTTAACCTAATTAATTTAACTTTATTAAGTATTAAGTCTCTTGTATCGCAACATTAAATGATAAGGTTATTTTAGTAATTTTTTACGTGTTTTTTCTAAAATCAAGCAGTATTTGTTGAGATTTTTAATATTTGAGCAAAGATGAAAAATGACGGTTAAAAAGGAACGAAGGGAGTAGTAAGAGCACCCCCTATTATGCATTGTTTTTTACCAACCCCCGAAATTGTAATTTTTTACGAGGGCAGTTTGCTAAAAGAAGTGCATTATAGGGTTTTTTTTGGTAATATTTATAACATGGGGGTTCTTTAGCAATTAGACTAAAAACAGGGGTGTTGAATGCAATAAACCCGAACAAAAGAAACTAACCTTGAGCACATAGTCAGTGACCAAACTAGTCTTTTGTCCAGCTACTGAAATGGCTTTCATAAAGGCATCAATTTCGGCATCTGGTTTGATACCAGCATCTTTTTCCCGCCTCGACAACTCGGCCAAAAGTTCATATCTCGCTCCAACACCGAAGCAACGGCCCGCAAAATCCAAAGATTCCCTAACCGTCATTTCTCCGTGATGAAGATCATGTTGACTTATGTAAGCACAAGTTCTCTGAGGAATAAATTCCCTCAGTTCGTGGCCGCAATAAGTTATCTTCCCGCTTTCCTGGTATTCGAAATCGAGAATAAATTAATTATTAATGGAAATGTAACCACAAAAACATCAAATATTAATTACAACAAAATGCACTCCACTCCCTATAAATTTTCTATTTTCGCACTTTTCCCCCTTGATGTATTGTTTTGGCTGCACTTTGCCTCAAAAGCCGATTTTTGGTGGGCAGTGCAACAAAATAACATTTAAAAGGGGCAGTGCAGAAAAATAATGCTTTGAAGGGGCAAACTGCAACAAAAATTACATTTAAAGGGGCAACGTGCAGAATAATCCATATGAATTTTGTTATTGGGGCAATGTACCACAAGAATAGTATTTTGGAGGGGGAGATTTACTTTTTTAAATTTTGAGGTGGTTAAGTGCAAAAATTAGAAATTTACAGGGGGTGACACGCAATTTTCCCTCTTAACTATCAAGAACTTTTGTCTTACCCTAAGACTCTGCTCCAGCTTTCCAGCAAGTGCTTTTAGCAATGTAGTTTTTCCGGAGCTCGGAGGTCCCAAAAGAAGTGCCATTCTGAAAATAATAATTCGTGAAACAAATTCACGGAAAACGATTAAAATGCGGTTGTATGAACTAAAATACTTATAAGAGTACGTTTATAAACTTTTCGTGTAAGCGTCGTACCTTGACGGTTTCACTATTCCGGATACATCACTTAGTATTTTGACATTCTTCTTTTTCGAAGACAAAATCCTTACGGAACTTAGAATTCCCTATTCGTAACGAAAATAAAAAAATAAAAAAATAATTCGTTTATCGAAGAAATGTATGGAAAAAATGATTGTACGAAAATTACCTCAAGGGCATTTACGGTAGAATTGTACAGAGTCGGAAGTGCTCTGCTTCCAGCAAAAGCATCTCCTTCGACCGATAAATGTTCGAATCTGACTTCACATTGCGGAAGCTCGATCCCCACCCTATTAAAATTTTAAAAAAAACAACGATCATGAAAAAAAAAATTACTATTTAAATAAAACAAGTTAGGAAAATTACAGTTTCCATCCCTAGAGTTTGCACCGGTTTCACATTTGGTCCCCATGTTCACAAAAAACACATCTGGTCCTTTATGTTTCAATAATTTAACATTTTTGGTCATTTCCGTCAATTTACCGTTAGTCGGTCAGTTAAAGCAGTGACGGGCACACGCTTGATTCCGTTAGTTGTAACAAAAAGGACTAAAAGTGTCGAATGTTTGAAACACGAGGGATCAGATGTATTTTTCTCGAAACAAGCTCGAATAATTAGCAAACATTAAGAATTCGTGTACCTATCAATCCTTTCTCGGAGCCGAAGAAGCAACCTCTCGTTATCATCTTCAAACGCTTTCAACATATTATCCATAATTTGCTTCTTATCCTGCAAACCGAGATTAGCAAAATCGACTTCTCCATGCACGATTCTTCCATTGTCCAAAACTTGCTTCAAGATTCCCTTTCTCATTCGATCGTAAGTGGGCAGCCTTTCAATAGCGGCCCACTTAAGCTCTTCCTCGTCGTCTTTTCTCCCGCTCTTTTGGAATACATCGCCACCTGGCGCTCCGAACGCCTCCCGGATACTAGCCGAAGCCCAGCCCTTTGTGCTCGGTGACGATGAAAAGCTGGCCCTACGGCTCATTGACCTAGTCAACTCATCTCGTGTCACTGCAGCAGCCATTTTAGTAGCCTGCTACAAAAATATGTAACCGCCAACGAAAAAAAGATGAAAAAAGAAACCGTGTTCGATATTGTTTTTGGTTTAGGGAACTGCAGAAAGATAATTTGGTGAATTGGAAGGTTTTCGGAGTTCGTTTATATACGAAATAGCACGAAAGAGAAACGGAGATTAGTGACAAAAATTGGTATAAGAGAATTTTTTCAGACAAAATGATACATACATAAATTCTATTTTTTGTCAGCTAACGGCAATATCAATGTACAAATCACATACATCTGTTCTAAAGTATTCATGTTTTTGTCTTTACTATGTCTACAGTCCAATAGAACCTCGATAAATTAATAAGCTCGACTAAATAATAGTTTCTCTCGGTCCTAAATCGGTGAAAACGTGTAAAGTTATTACTCGATAATTTAATAATTCGCTAAATTAAAAGAAAATTTTCCTGATCCCGATTGTATTAATTTATAGAGGTTTGACTATATTTGTTTCGTGATTACTGCCTTTGAGCCTCTAACAAAAGTAATTTTTATCCTTTTCAACACAATTTTTTTTATAAACAGACATCCAATATAAAGAGAGAAACATGCAAACAAAGATAAATAAATAAAGAAGCAAAAAATATTTATTTCAACGACTAAAAAATTATATTAAAGGGAACATTGCAATTAATCTTAACCGCTGTCAAAAAATTAGTAACTAATTTAATGGGATAATTAGCTATATCCCTTATTTCAAATTTATATAGGTAGGAGTCCAATCTATTAGATTAATATAGCAATAGGCCCTTTGACTAAAAAAACCAATTAAATGAAATAAAATCAACATGCATATGGACATAAATACCCTTAAACAATAAATTATTTATTTATGGAAGTCTTTAATTACGTAAATGGTGAGAATAAATCCCATATATCACGTCATAAGATTTGGAGGGGAGTTATGAACGTGGTTGAAAAAAATAACTCATCCAGGAAAGGAGTTTACGAAACGTGGTTGATTCATCTTTGACAACACTCTTATTCTGTTTTACAAAATCTCTGGTTTAGATTTCGAGATTGAAATTCGAATTCAGACTTTTGATTTAATTTGGCAGACATTAAATTAAATTTTGTGATTTTTTTAGAGTTAATGGTGCAAGATTGAAGGAGAAGATGACCATACATAATGTGATTAAGCCCGATTCACATATTTTCTCTTTATTTGCTCATTAGTAGAAGATTTCATTTAGTTTTCTTTTTTCGTGCAAACCAAAACGAGTACAAAATGGCTCGCTCGTTCTCCACCGCTAAATTCATTCCTTCTTTCATCGCTAGAGCAGTTCCGTATCTAGAGGCTCAAGGACATCGTCTAAAGCTGATTATCTTGAGACGAAAATTGTGTCTGTTGTTTGCTATTTTTTTTTCACTTTGTTGTTATATATTTATTTTTTATTGTTAGTATGGTACTATTTGCACTTTGCTTTTTTATTTTTGCAGTTTACGTATATAATGTGTTTTTTGCTCGAATATATTTATACAATTTTTCTGCTTTTATTTACTATTTTAAGTTGTTTTTTTCATACTTGATTGTCCCTGTTAATCTCTGTTCTGTAAATATCAAACTTTAAACATCCATTCATAATACAAACATCAAACATCAAAACATCATTTTATAATGCCCATATTGAACAACAAACATCAAGATTTTTTTTTTCATTTTTTTATGTCGATTTGCACATTTTTCGATGTTGGTGGATTTTTGTTTTGCGTTTTGCTGTTTCTAACAGACTATATTTTACACTATGATGTTATATATTTTTTTTTGAGTTGTTAGCATGGTATTGTTTGCACTTTTGATTTTTTGTGTTTGCAGTTTGCATATACGATGTGTTTGTTGCTCGAATATATTTGTGCATGTTGATGTTATATATATGATGTAATTTTTTGGTATAATATAATCTACACTTTTGATGCCATATATTTGTATTTGCAGCTGGTATTGTATTATTTGAACTTTGCCTTTTCTTTTTGCAGTTTGCATATAAATTACAATAGCAAAATGCCAACTATAACAGCAGAATGAAGACTAAAGCCCTGTGAGAATTTTGTTGCAGCAGTGTATGACAAAAATCGACTAAAGCCCTGTGACACTTTGCCTGTTTTTTTAACAATTTACTGAATTTATAAGAAATTATGAATTGGCAAGCATATACCAATGCACAAAATAACTGCATGAATTTGGAATATATTAGAAAATAATTCATATCAAAATCCAACAAATATATAATGCCACAAATAAAAAACAAAGTTCTGCTAAACATAAGCAAATGTCATAAAAAATACTAATTAAACTCAACGGTATCCTCGTCGTTCAAGAACTGATAATTAAAAGTTTTTCGAGTGCGATAATCACACTTGTTGCAGGTTTTCTCACTAATTGTTGTTGCATGTACAACTGCCTTGCAATAAACAAGACAAAAATCCCACAATCAACCAAATCTGGTTTTTGTTGAGGCGATGTCGAAACATAGCATGGCTTCGTGCTATCGTGCAAATAGATTCGGCTTGATTCATCGTTGCTTTCCTCTTTTTGAAGAGGCAAATGATTCATCTACTTTCCTCCTCCCCTTCGTCAAATCAACTGTTCAATTGGAAAAAAAATTATTGCACAACCATGTTGGTACCTATATCCATGTACATCAATTACACATAACAATATGCAAGGTGCATTTGGTAACATCAAATGCAAATTGTAATTTTGAAACAATAAAAAATGCAATTTAAAAATCACAAGATGACTAAGAATATACCAAAGTTCAAATGAAATATACAATATCAAAAATTACATCATACATGCAAAATGTAGAATAAACATCAAAGTGCAAAATACACTACGCTAGAAACAACAACTTGCAAACAAAAGAAAACAACGAATTCGAATATATGTTGCAATCGACATCAGAAAATAACATGAACAAAAAAACAAAACAAATGTATCACAAAACAGCAAAATGAAAACAAAAAATAATGTAACACAAACCAGGAAACTCCAAACAAACAATCAACGAATTTAGGAGCAAAAAGACAAATTCAACAAAATACTCCCAAGGGCCGAAAAGAACAAAAGACGACAAAACAAAAAATCACAATCGAGATCTGACAACATGTAACAAAAACGCAAAATAACAGCAAAATATTGTAACTCGAACAGTAAAATCTAAAAAAACAATAATGTCAAAACAAAAAATAAAAATAAAAATTACATGGGGTTAAAACCTCTAAATTTGCACTTTCACTTGTGGTATAAAAATAACCCATTGCATTCCGTCAATGAATCGTCATTAAAGACATTTAAAAAACCACAATAGCAAATTACATGTACGTTTCGATTTTGCACTATCCTCTAGGATGTGTTTTTTTGTTGGCAATTTGAAGAAGTTATAGAGATTCCATCGTTCTCAAGAACAACGATAGGGTTACAAAGATTGCATTGAAGAAAAGGGGACAGGGAGAAGTTTTGTTTTTCGAGAGATTAACGATGGAAGAATGCAATTTGGGGAGGATTTGCAATTGACGTTTTGCAGCATGATTTATGCTAAAACCGATTTTTGTGGAGGATTTTAGGAATATATAAATTTAAGAATACAATTTTCCTATTTTTGCTTAAGGGCAAATCAGCCATAAAAATTAGTAGGCGTTATAACAATATTGAAATTATGACTTGGATTTTAATCAATATAATCTACTAATGGAGGGTCTATAGAAAATTACCCCTAATTTAATTACTTGGCCCTACAGTTGTGGGTCCTCCATTAAACTGTATTCAAACTTATATTTAATGTAGTTTAAATAATTAAAAATAATAATAATTAACATAATGAATATTTATTTTTGCTCACTATTATATGGACAAAATGCATTTTCCCCCTAGAAATTTCTAGTTTTTGCACTTTCCCTCGTACAAATAAAAAAATGAGACTTTTCCTCTTCCAAATTTTATTATAGTTGCACTTTGCCACAAATGGGACTTTCCGGCGTATTTTCACCGATTTTTTCATATCTTCAGTAACTTGAAGGGCATTTTCGTCCTTTCACCAATCCCACCTAAATATTAATATCATTGAAAAACCTAGATGCTGAGATGGGTTCTGATTTTGCTGTTGCATTAATATCGATCCAAGCTGCAATGGGTTGACCGATATTGCACACCATCATTTAGCTATTGTTGTTCTGTTCCTAATAGCGGGTCACATGTATAGGACCAACTGGGCTGGATCTTCCTTCTTGGAAATTGAGGTTGCCGGAGTAGTTGAACTTCGACATAAAATGTAAAGGCGCCTTCACAGTGTTCCCTCCGCCGCCACCGCTGTGGGGATTGGCGAACGGTCACATCTGGGCCGCCTCGGATGGGCCAGAGGATGAAGGGGTGTTGCCACCTCCTGCGGCTAGGTCACAGGGAGCCTCCAGATTCGAGTTGCTTGTAGAGAAGATGCAGTGCTGATGGTGTTGGTGGTGAAACCCTAGCATATGTGAGAAATTCTTCTCGTTATAAGGATAAGGATGGCTAGCTAGCACGCATCACTGCGCTATGGAAGGAATGAAGCGCGAATTTCGATGATGACGGAGACATATATAGTTGAGCCTTCTAAGAGAGATGTTTAGGGTGGAAAAATTGGCCGAAATTGTGCCGGTACCAGTGGCAGCTATAATATTTGGATGGGATTGTGAAAGGACAAAAATACCCTTCAAGGTGATGGAAATATGAAACAATCGGTGAAAAATTCACCGGAAAGTCCCATTTGGGGCAAAGTACACCTATAACAAAATTTGAAAGGGGAAGAGTCTCATTTTTTAATATTTAGGAGGGAAAGTGCGAAAGCTAGAAATTTTTAGGGGGTGAAGTGCACTATGTATGAAAACCACTATGTATAAGCACCTATATAAAAATGAAAATCACTATGTATGAACTGCTATATAAACATGAAAATCACTCTGTATAACAGCTATGTAAACGTGAAAACTACTCATTATAACAACTATGTAAGCATGAAAACCACTCTGTATAACAACTATGTAAACATGAAAACCAGTATGTATAGTTACAAATTCATTTTCTTGCCCGGATAAACAACATAACGTTCAAGCAAAACAAACATGTTCATACATCTACAATTCTCTCGAGATAATTCCCGATTGAGATGTTGGGTTTCGATAATCCATTGAAGACTGATATTTTTTGGGGTTGATAACTCTTCACAGTGATGAAAACAAGCGGATGAAGAATGTCCATCCACCTTTGCCGCCACCGGTTTCCTCTCTCCACCCCCGCCACCGGCCAATGGATTCTCGGAACTCAGCCCTACTTTGTTCAGACATACTAATGTCCTAGGTCTAGAAACCATTAATGAAACAACTTCATTGGAAAGGCCAAGGCCTAATGGTTTAGACATTCTTAGCAGCTTAGTAGTAGCCATTGTTGTTGTTGGTTCTGGAAGTTTCTAATTCTTGAGAGAGAGAGAGAGAGAGAGAGAGAGAGAGAGAGAGAGAGAGAGAGAGAGAGAGAGAGAGAGAGAGAGACGTATATTAAAATTATGAGGATTAGAATTCTGCACTCACGTATATTAAAATTATGAGGATTAGAATTTTACAATCAATAAGCGAGAATCGTTGGATTAGTTAAGAACGTGTTATTTAAGATGTATATGGAAAAAATATTATATGTCTTTTAAAATCAAAATTAACTATACTTTATTCCTTAGTTAGGGGTATAATGGTGATAAATAAATATTTTTAATTAATAATAATTGTTTTGAATTTATTTTAAAAATGTAAAATAAAATTGGGCTCATTGTAATGACACTTGTGTAATGGGGGGGTTTTGTCAAATTTTCCCTTTAAAAAATTAATAATTAACATACTGAATATTTATTAATGATATGATTATTATTATTTGGGCAAAATGCATTTACCTCCAAGAAATTTCTATTTTTCGCACTTTTCCAAGTACAAATAAAAAAATGATACTCTTCCCCTTCCAAATTTTGTTATAGTTGCACTTTGCCGTAAATGGGACTTTCCGGCGTATTTTCACCGGGTTTTTTATATCTCCAATACCTTGAAGAGCATTTTCGTCCTTTCACCAATCCCACCAAAATATTAATATCGTTGAAAAACTTAGATGCTGAGATGGGATCTGATTTTGGAGTTGGTGGTGAAACTCCAGCATATATGAGAAATTCTCCTCGTTATAAGGATAAGGATGGTGAGCTAGCACGCACCGGTGCGCTATGGAAGGAATGAAGTGCGGATTTCGACGGTCACGGCGACAGAGCCTTGTGAGAGAGATGTTAATTAGGGTGGAAAAATTTGCCGAAATTGTGCCGGTGCCAATGGCAGCTATAATATTGTAGGAGGAAAAATATCGACACAGAACCCTAATTCCTCCGGACTCAAAGTAGGAAAAAGAAAACTAAGCTAGTTCTGTTGGAGATATTAATACTAAATGATATATTTCACACTAACAACTTAAATTTTTGGTTGAGATGGTCATTCGACAACATGGTATTAGAGCCAGGTCAAATGAAAGGTCCTGAGTTCGAATCCCATCGCCACTCATTTCAAATATTTCAAGTGTCTATATTTTATAGATTAATAGGCTGCGGCTATATGCAAGACTAATTCCACTTACATTCAAAATCCTCAAAACTCAACAAATTTTACAAAGATGGCAAGTATGGAGTCAGAAGACATCAAAATAGAAGATTATACGGTGGAAGAACACAAGAAGGTATGCATTTATGTGTTTTTTTTTTGCTAGAATATCGTTTTTCCAAAAAAATCCCGCGCAGACACAGTCGATATGTACAGGTCGAAATTTATAGGTAAAAATCGACATTGAGATGTCGATTTTGGAGTACAAAATCGACACCTTAGTATCGAAAGTTAACTGTTAGCAAATTAGTCCAAATATACTAAATTTCAACATTAAGGTATCGAATTTATGGACATATATTCGACACCTTAATGTCGAAATTTAGTTGTTTCATATATTTTTTTTTTTTTTTTGTATTATTTGTTATTTGGTCTTCCATGAGCAAACAAAAGTCAATTTAATTTGTGGGTATATTTGTCATTTCATCTTAATAAAATGGAATCTTTTGAAGTATATTTTTTATTTTTGGTCTTGCACAAGTGAAATTAGTATTTCATATAGCCGTAGCATATTAGATAATGGTTGTTGGTTTAATTATGAAAGGTTGGTAACCCTCTACATCTTTAATAGAGGCACGTGTCTATTAATGATACTTGATACATTTCATTAACAACTTAAACTTCCATCGATTTTTTTTCTTCTCATCACCTCGTTTGTTTCTTCTTTCTTGTTTTTTTTTTTTTTTTTTTGGTTCAGTTTCTTTAATTTGGTAAAGTAAGGTGAGCAATTTGGTGGAGCCCAAATAACAACCTCCATTGTGTCATTTTACAACATAAAAAATGCAGAAAAATAGGGGGAAAAAAAAAAGCACAAACTGAGAGTCGGAGAGTGACCTACACCAACGACGTAAAGGGTTAATATGTCTTTTACCATAAATTATGAGCGGTGTTTGCCAATTAAAATAACTGAAAGGCTTCTTCTGCAATTGAAGATAAAACATGGGTGCAGAATGAAATTAACTAACTATAAAGATCTCAATAAGACCGTAAAAATTAAAAGGTCACAAAAAATAGTTGCATAAAATATCAAAATATATGGGAAAAATCCTAAAAGATCCTAATAGATAAGGAAACAAGAATCCTAATTCAAAACTAATTAGTCTTTTTTTCACCCGGTGTATTACACCCGGTGTAGCATAGAACATACCCTGTTTTTTGCTTATTTCAATCGATAACTACAAATTAAAGTCACACAAGGTATAAAAACTTGCACCAGGATTAATTAAAATCGACAGAAAACAAACCAATTAGTTGTAAGAAAGACGATGTCTATGATGTCTGTGAGTGAGACCCCATCAGCAGATAGTACGATAATTCTTTTTCTCTTCTTCCTCCACATATATATATATATATATATTGTGCTGATTTTTTTAATTTTTTTATATTTTATTTTTTGCTGCTATCAGAATTCCCGGCAATGGAAATAAGAGAGGAGTCACCTGCACATTTTTTGCTAAAGATTAAATGTTTCTCCTTGCTTCACCAACACGGAATTCATAAATATGAGACTGAGGAATTTGCGGCTGGTGAATACAACTGGTAATTAATATGTTAATTCTCTATATTCATATTTCCATGTACGGTAGAACCTCGATAAAATTAATAACCTGGTTTATAGAGGTTTAAGTGTATTTGTTTTTAATTTTATTTTTTTTACCATTTATTCTGTCAATCTTTTTTTTTTTTTTGATAATTACTCTAACCATAATGGAAGAATTATATTACACTATCATTTTCACAATCGAAAGCTTTATATGTTAACATTGTGCAGGTGTTGCATGATTAAAATCAAAAGAAATTAGGGAAAATAGCACTTAACCCCTCTTGTTATAAGCTTTTGCAGATGATCCTATGTGCTTGTAATATCAGCACATAACTCCCTTGTGGTTTATGGGGTAGCTCCCGTTAGTTTTTTCGTCAAATTTAACCGCGTGTGGGTATGTGTCAAACTTCAACGGGGTCATTGGAAAAAAAATACTTTGACGTTTAACACTGGCGTTTAAGTTTTAAGGAAAAACTAACTAAAGCTACCCCATATACCACGAGGGGGTTATGTGCTCATATTACGAACATAAGGGGGTCATCTGCAAAAGCTTGTAGCCATAGGGGTTAAGTGTTATTTACCCAAGAAATTAATCTTTTTTTCACTTGTACACAGGAAACTAATAATCTACCCTAATGGAGACGACATTGGAAAAAGCTGCGACCATATTTCCGTACACTTATCTATCGCGGACACAAATTCTCTTCCTGCAAATGGGGAGGTCAATGCTGTTTTCAGCATCTTTCTCTTTAATCACAATTCCGGCAATTTTCTTGCTTCACAAGGTATTTATTGTTCTTTTTGTTAGTGTTGTAAGAAAATTAGATAAAATTTAGTATGAGGAAAATACTTAATTGCACAGGAATAACAAGACGTTTTCGAGGACTCAAGTCTCAATGGGGCTTTTCAAAATTTATCTCTAAGAAAACCCTATTGGATCCATCAAACGGATATCTAGGTGATGACATCTGCGTGTTTGGTGCTGAGGTTTTCATAGTCAAAAGAGAGGCGGTCACCGAATGTTTGTCTTTGAAGAATGTGTATAGTGAACACTACAAGCACGAGTTTAAGATTTCAAACTTCTCCGAACTGGAGAACGTTTGGCATTCTGAAGAATTCAACGTTGGATGCCACATATGGTACCATTTTCTAGCATTACAACGATGATCTTTCGGCAATTGTTTATTAACCTTGCACTTGTTCGTCTGACATGAATATGCTTTTTTTTTTCTTTTTGATAAATTTAGGAATGTTGGTCTTTACCCAAAAGGAGCTCAAGAAGGAACTAGCAGCCACGTCGGCATCTCTTTGCTCTATGTGTTTTGGCTTCTTATGCACGTGTATATTTGCTAACCCCGGCGGCCCGTCTTCAATTTTGCAGCTAGTAACGACTGGTTTTCATCTCCTCACCAGAATTGGGGATTCTTTAAATTCATTGATATTGCTACTATTAATGATCCTGGAAAAGGATTCATCGTGAATGACTGTTGCATTCTAACTTTAGAAATCTCCATCCTAGCTGTTGTACAAAGATCTCCCTTATCTTAAGCCCGCTAGGGTTTGTGAATGTTTAGCGATTTTGCGAATTTTGTCTAGAATAAATTTGATTTTGAAGTATTTGGTATATTTGGCGTCTATATGTTTGTGTTTTGATGATTTCCAGAATAATACAATTGAAATAGACACATTTGATGGTCATTTTGTATTTACTAGCAAGGTGCACGCACTTCGCATGTGCCGGGTGAAAAAAAGTTACATTCTTTTAAGATTGTTCATATATTCATATTAATACAAAATTATATTTTATTTTTTATGTATTCTAAATATCTAAATTACGAATTATATTTAAACTTTTTTCCAGACAATTTATTTTAAAGTAAAATGTATAAATATATTTACGCTTTATTGTGTCATAGTGTAATATTAATATGTTAACCGTTCATCAAAGGCAAATATAATAAAAAGTCAAAAGAATTAAATTTGGTGTGGTTGACAATAATATTACTGGCATCCACAGTAATATTACTACTGTAATGACAGTACTATTACCGTCAAACACAGTAATATTATTGTGTTTACAGTAATATTACAATAGTAGACAATAATATTATTATTACGTTAATTGGTCAACAAATCAAACAAAACAAAAAGGGCAAAAGAAAATAATATACAGTAATATTATTGTGTTTACAGTAATTTTACCTTCAGCGACAGTAATATAATTACTTTGACTTGTCAACAAATCAAACAAAATAAAAAAAGGTCAAAAAGATAATCATATTGATGTGGTTACAATTACATAAATGTATTGTCAACGACAGATAACAGTTTTAGGAGAAAAAAAAAAGTCAACGTCGGAGACCGGTAGTGAACGAAAAAAAAGTCAACGTCGGTAACCGGTGGCGAAAAAAAATTCAGAAAAAAAAAGTTGAAGAAAAGAAAAAATCAAAATTGAATTTTTGTGGTCAAAATTGATTATATTTAAGTTAAATTGATGTTACAATTAAGAATTGAGTTTAAAGGATTCGGGGTAATCTTGTCATATACATTAATTTTGCCTTATTTATAATACATATTAAAGGATATTAAAGGGATGAGATTATTGCCGAAAGAGATATAACTTTTGAACATAGTGGTTAGAGACGTATGTACAAAAATCCCTATTAAATACCATATTAAAGGGATGAGATTATTGACGAAAGAGATATAACTTTTGAATATTGTAATTAGGGAGTATGCATAAAAACCACTATTAAAAAAAGCAAAAATTGCTGAAAAAACAATCTTGAATTTACTCTCAATCTTTAGAACAATAAAAAATATGAATTCAAGAAATAATATGGAAAATATTATCCAAAGTCAAAATTGTTTGAAAAGTAAATCAAATTGGATTTGGAGTTAAATCATTAAATATGAACGTGAAAAAAAAGAAAAAGAATTCTTGAAATTCATCAATTTCGATCGATATATATATTATGAAATTGTAATATTAGAAACAAAACAGAAATTATTGCTCATTATTTCATTAAAAAAAAAAAAAAAAAAAACCCTATCATCAAACTACTAATTAAACTGGGTAGATACTCAGTTACTATCAAACTACCCAAATCGTTTATCGATTGCATAAAAACCTAGACGTAAATTTAATTGCTTCAAAAGATAAGAGACCAACAACAACGAAAACATCAATAATTCCAAATAAACCAAGAGCTGCGCAACAACCCAAAACGACACACACGTTTTTCAAAACTTGCTTTCGTTCTCCCCCTCTTAGCTCAGAAAAACTCCGCACCTCAGCGTCACAAACATCGTTCTCCAACGCCCTAACCAATTCCTCAAACCGACCCCTCGTTACATCGGCAAGCTCGGCAAGCTTTGCTGGCGTGTACTTCCGCTTCTTCGATTGATTGTTGTCGGAATCACAATAGTATTTTTGAAGCTCCGTCAGAGAAAAATCCAAAGTCTCTTGCAAGAATAATAAATACACCATTTTCAGTATCAATCCTCGATTGCCGGGAGCCGCATTGTAAGTGAAACCCATGGCATGTAAATACGCGTAACTCCATTTCAATACTCGCCTGTATTCTACTATCTGCTCCAACGCGAGTTTATTCTTCTTGAACCGACGAAGAGTATCCAGGGCGGTTTCCCTGGAATTATGATTCCAGGCGTATTTTCGATATAAATTTGCGTGCCTCTGCATCAAGCTTGACCTAGTGTAGAACTTGTAGTAATCGCGGCAACTAGCGTGGCTGGCGTTGTTGCTCCAGGGATTAAGGCACAGCCAGCAAAATTCGAAGCTACAAGGGCTCGGACACGTCATGCGATTGCAGCCCGGGTTTTTGTCCTTTTCGATGTTGGTGCCGCAATTCGGACATGGCTTTGTGAAAGACATTATCCATGTCGTGTTTTCCGGCCCGTAGCTATTCAGCTTGTTCCACTTGTTGACCGTTTCGCAGTCGACAGGGCGGTGGATTTCCTCCGTGCAGTTCCAGCAAAACGCGTGCGAGCAATCGCACACCACGTCGTAGTTTTTCGTCTCGTCTGCCAGCTGGGAGTCAATCTGGACCGCACGATCGCATGCAGGGTTAGGGCACCACTTGATGTTCCCGTGGGCCGCCACGTAGGATCGAAGAAAGTCATCTTTATCTTCCACCACTGCCTCGACGCCAAAATTTTCATTATTTTGGAGTTGTCTGATGCTTTCTTGTGTGAGGATTGTGTAATTTTTCTGATTCATATCGCCGGTGGTGTATGGATCTGGTAATAATTCACAATCTTGATTATCTTGAAAACCGAATATAAATCCAATATAGATATATATATATATATATATATATATATATAGAGAGAGAGAGTGAGTTATTGAAAGAGAAATAATTTAATTAGCCCTAAAGATCAACACACACATATATATAGGCGAACAAGTCTTACTTATTATACCCACGTATAAGACTCCTATTCTACTCCAACAAGAATTCTAGTAGCAAAGAATTACAATAACAATTTATTTTGTTACCAAATATTGTCCTTATTAAACTACCAAATCAAATTCAACCAATATTATTAATGTGAATCAAATATACCTTCTCGTTGCTTCTCTTCCAAGTAACCTAATATAGAATCCTGTCGGGACACGATTACCTATCAAGTTACTTTCAAGGCGAATTGCGTATAATCCAAAGGAGGAGGACTTATTTGTAATCCTATCCAGACCAAAATCAGTTTCACAAAAAACTCATCTTTTGTCTCTTGTCCGAAATACCCTTTACAATATAATTTACATCGATTTCATTCATAATGTTCAAATTTAACAAATATTTCACATTGGCCCCATAGTTTAACAAATATATCATACTAACCCTTATTTTCACAATTTATTGAAAAAAGGATCATTTATGAACTTTTTTTTTTCGGCCACTAACCGGTGGTGGCGGTCAAAATTGTGCTATAAAATTGGTTAATTGGTGAAATTTAGACTAAATTATGGTTTAAAACTTGAAATTGGAGTTGAATTGAGGTTTCAAAGTGTTATGGGTATTTTTAGTATATATAAAACAATTTTCCTTATTAGCAATTAAGTTTGAATGTGCTGAATATATATTTGCAAGACAAAAAGTTAGAATATCCCACTTTTGATTAAGAGGGGGTGATTGGCTAGGCTTATAAAATGTTAAAATGAGCTTATAAGATGTTTAGGAGCTTAAAAGTTCTACCAAAGGATTTGGTAATTTTCTTAGAAAAGATCTTATTTTTTTCTAAAATAAGTTGTTGGAGAGAAAATAAGATTTTTTTTCAGTGCAAATGCCAAGTAGGCCCATGACAATGGACTTAAATGCACATATCTCAAGACAAAAAATAGTTTCGCAAATAAACGTATCACATGTCTTTTGTCTAAAATACCCTCATAATATAATTTTCATTAATTCCATCAATTACGTTCTAACTTCTTCAATATTGCACATTGACCTCAGTTTTGAATAAACATATCACATTAACCCTAATTTTCACAATTTCTTAAAAGAATATTTTTTTTAGAAAATAATTTTTTTCGAATTTTTTTTTTCCGGTCAGATTCCGGCATTAACCGCGGTCTCCGACCTTGACTTTATTTTTGTTTCTTTTTTTCCTGATATTTTTGTTCGACAGGCCAGCTGCCGTTGACCGCCGGTCACCGGCACTGGTTTTTTTAAACTAAATTACTATGTTAACAACTATATTACTGTGTAAGACAGTAATATTTGTTAGAATTTATTTCGTGCAGATATAAATTATTTGTGTCAGATTCAGTTTTTCGTTACTGTTGCGTGAAGAGTTGCAACAGTTCGTGAAACAGTTTGTAAAAACAGAAATAAACGAGACACAAATTTAATGTGGTTCGGATACAACTGTACCCTACATCCACGGGGACCTGCAAATAAAATTTACTAATTTTTAGTTTTACGAATACAATAATAGGACTTAATCAAAATACAAAGACTCCCTCTTTGTTGACGCCGTTCTTGTATACTACGCTGAATTATAAATCTTCAATTGCAGCACGTCCCTTGCTCCGCACGGTTGAACTCCCTTCAACGCTGAATCCCTCAGTCGGCGGATCGATCTCCTCCCGAGATCTGTTTAAGCCCCTCTCCCGAAGAACCGATCTTCTTTTTGTATAGAAGAAGCAAACTTGTGATTCTCCTTGAATCTGTGTCTTCACCACAAAGCCTTGAAGCCGGTATATTTTCTATGAAAATCACGTATCACGATGGAGCAATAAAAACGAGAGAGAAAAAAAATATTTCTCTGAAATCTTCTCTCGATTAACAAGACGCTCCAGGAGTAGCAAATATAAGAGCGGAAAAATATAATTTTTCTTCTCCAACAAAAGGCGTGCTACAGCAACCAAGAAAAGGGAGATCGGCTTCTCTCCAAAAACGACGCCAATAAAAACGAGAGTAAAGAAAATATTCTGCGTAAATTTTTCTCTCAAAGAAGACGTGAGATCTGAGGCGCCGTATTGCTGTATTTATGCTTCTACATGTTATAAGAATCCTACAAGGAAAAAAGAGTCCATTAGGGTTAGGAAACTCTTAATTACGTAGGAAATAATATTTTCAAAACAAGGAAACTCTTTAGAAGAATAATTCCTATTATAAATCAATTAATGACAAATTAAAAGAATTAAAAGCTACAAGGACTCTTCCCTTCTTTAGCTCATGGTATATGAAAACTTGTGGCACAAGTTTTATTAATTCTCGTACAATTAGAATCCATAGGATTCTAACAAAATAAAACCACATAACTAGATTAAGAGCCAACACTATCCACAACCCCTCCATACAATCCCCTTCCGATTCTCGAGCTCGATTCCCAACTTCACTCCTCGGGCCCCAAATCGGGTATACCTACAAACATACAACACCTATATGAGTCTTTGAGGACTCAATGAGAACCTTGAAGTAATATCGAATACACATAGCACATAGAGCATACATATATCTATACATATATATACATACATATATCTTATACATGAACATACAACATGAAGTAAAACAATCATACTTCCCTTTTTCGTCGGCGTTCTTCATTCATATAATTGCCACACGCATAGAGTGAGATAATTCCCACTTTTATAACCCTATGATCCCAAGACCATAGAGTGAGAATATCCCACCTTTATAACCCTATGCCATGACACGTATTGAAGATTATAGGAGGAATTTCCCACCTTTATAACCCTACGATCCCAAGACCATAGAGTGAGATTTTCCCACCTATATCATCAACACCATAATGCAACATGCATGACATGAAAAATTGTCGGGAATCCCTCGGAAGAGCCAATCTAAGTTACCGGTAAATAACCCCATATATTTCGAACCATGTCTAACTACGTGGGATCAAACCACCCCTAGGCCCTACGGTACCAGGCTCGCCGTACCCGAGAAATTTACCGTAACCTCGAAAGACTTTCCAACATAGTTTTATCTATTTTTTTTTTTTTTTTAAATTCATGACACTTAATGCACCCACACATGCACCCTTCTACTTACCCTTCTCTCATCCTCACACCCAATGATTCACATAAGCAAGCAAGAGCACATAGGAGCACATAGAAAATACACATAAAGTTTCACAAAATCATTTAGTCGTAAAAACATAGAAATAACCGAAATCTTAACATGCAAAAACAATCTAACATCAAAGTTCACTAGATCTAGCATTTTTACAAGAATAAAATTCAAGACTTCCATCTTTACATTTATTCAAGTAAATACACTAGATCTTCACATGCAAGAGTATTTTAAATCAAATTAGCACAAATTCTTAGTTCTTAAACCATTTTTCATAGAAAACACTAGATCTTAACATGCAAGACTTTAGATCAACCATCAATCCCTAGATCTTAACATGCAAGACCTTAGATCAACAATCAATCACCAATCTTAACATGCAAGGCCTTAAAACAACAATCAACACAAGATCAACACATGCAAAACACAAAATGAACCACATAAGCAATTTCAAGCATTTTCCCTCAAAAATTCGAAAGTTCCTTAGTTAAGTCCAAAATTCATTTTCTTTTCAAAAATCAACAATCAAACACTAGATCAACACATGCAAGGCACTAATTAAACCAAATAAACCATTTAAAACATTTTTCCCCAAAAATTCGAAAGTTTCATGGCTAGGCCAAAAATTCATTTTCTTTTCAAAAATCAACAATCAAACACTAGATCAACACATGCAAGGCACTAATTAAGCCAAATAAGCCATTTAAAACATTTTTCCCCAAATTTTCGAAAAATCATAGAACTTCAAGAACAAATTCATCTTTTCAAAACACTAACATGCAATGATCATCTAAAACATATAATCACATAATATGCAAGAAAACACATAAAAACACATAAAAACACATAAAAACCGAAAATACTAGTGGTGTTGTAGGTTTGAGCAAGAATTCAAGAATTCTCACCTATACTCTTTAGGGGAAGGATTTGTTAGCTCTTTTCTCTCTAATACAAGAAGAGATTAAGAGTTAGATTACAAAACAATATGAAGAAGGAAGAGAGGAAATTTTCGAAGAAGAGAGGAGATGAAGCTCTTACATTCAAATTGAAGAATCTCTCGAGGAAGAGATTTTGAGCTTCTTCTACTACTAATTTCGAAAATGGAAAATGAAAGAAGAGAAGAGAGATTTCTTAGGATTGTAGTGGGGAGATGAGAAAACACTTGGTAATGGGTTCTATTTATAGAATGGGGAGGCTTGCAACCTTAATGGTTAAGTATTGAGGAGGGGCTTCTTGGCAATTTAATCTTTAGGTGGGTTGGGGGTGATTTTGCAATTTTCGAAAATTGAAGTGGTGGTGGTTCTTGGGTGGTTCAAGCTTGAGAAAATGGTGGCTATGGTGGTGGGGGTGTGGCTGCCGAAATGAAGAAGGAAGGGAGAAGAAGAAAGACCTTTGGTCTTACTTCAAGGAGTGAAAAGCATGTCTAGTCTATAGAGTATGGAACCAGGCTTGAGTATTTCTTCCTATGCTCAAAGTACAACCACACTAATGCATGTTTAATGCTAATTAATATGCAATTTAAAAATCATGTGTGTGTGTGTTTGTGATGTCCGAAAATTCAAGAAAATGTGGGGAGGATTTTCTAATTTTCGACATTAGTTAAAAATCCTAAAATGCATGAGAAAATTTATTTTTCTAAAATTTTGTGCATGCATAAATATGATGAAATGCTTAATTAATTTCATATGCAAGAATAAAATCATAATTCATGAAAAATAATTTATTTCGAAATAA